ATATATATACATATATATACATATATATACATATATATACATATATATACATATATATACATATATATATATATATATAATTACATATATACATGTTGAACACATACCCCAAAACTGTTGCAAAATCAAGTTTTGATTTGTGTACCATCTTGTCTCCCAATAAGACAATATGTATAGACATACATATTTATATATACATATATATATATACACATATATATACATATATATACACTATATACACATATATATATATATACACATATATATACATATATTAAATGCCTCGCGATCTTGTGAATTGTCAAACTAGAATAAAAACATATTAACTGCAACCAAAGGAACTTTGCAGTAATTTAATAATGAGAAGAGCACTAACACAGATTCGAGGTTGAGATTTGTCCTCTGGGTTTGCTGATATTTCAAAATAGTCCAGTCAAAAATATAATCAAATTCATAACCTGCCATAGTTGATAGAAAGAACAAATTCAGACAATCGCAAACAAAAAAATCTTGACAATTATTAACAAATAATGAGTAAAAAATTCATGAGAAAAAAGCACTAACTCAAATTTTGAATTCATAAAAGTTTCTTTTATGCCAATTATAATTAATGAATTCACTTCCATATTCCCCAAATCTTCTCCCCTTTTTCCCTTCTTATTGGCTATGAAGTCATGAAAATTGTATGAACAAGATTCGGAAGAATAAGGACCGGAAGAAACCAAATGAAATGCATACCTCTAAGCCAATTCAAGATGGAAATTGGCAATCAATTATATTTTCCCACATATTACCTTCACGATTAAACAAGTCATGAAAGAGGCGCTTCAGAAATCCATAATCAGGTCATTGCTCAAATGCCAAAGAATGGCAGTAATGGAAGTAAGATCCAAATTCCACCGGATGCGATTTACATAAAACCTAAGGTATGGTGTTAAGTCAAAAATATTAATGAGATGTTCAGAGATATGAGAACATCACAAAATACAAGTAATTATAAAACATACTTCAATGGGTGTTGAAAGCTTCTTCCCGCATATCTTATCATACTCTTCTGTTTCTTTGTGGCAGCTTTCAGACCTTGCCATTGAAGACTACAAACAGTCACAAGGTCAAAAGTTAATTATACTAATTATCTACCCATAAAAGTAAGATGCTATTAGTAATAAGCTGGCTCATGGAAGAAAAGTTCAGAGGTATTGGTGTCAGTAAAAATAAACAAAAATAACAGAAAAATACTTAAAGCAGATTTTCATTGTACACAAAATACATATAATTATTGCTTTTATGCAACAAAACTAGCTAATGAAAGCATTTCAAGCTCCATGAATACCAATCAAGAATATGCATCCACAATCTATCTAAAATCATAATCTACATTATGCCTTAATTTTCAGAACATTAGTGATCTCTTTGTGCCACCCGTACAATACAAAATGAATTTTGAACAAGATGAAAAAAATTCTTTAAGTATGGTTGCTCCCATAGTTACAAGATAGTTTCAGGAATAAAAAAGGAAGAGCAAGTTAAATTTGGAAATAAATATGACTTAATTAAAGAATACCTTCCTCTGAGAAAATACAGAAGAACATAACCACCAAGAGATTCCAAATCATCCCGACAACTTTGCTCTGATAAATACACAAATTCAATAAGTTGTCATGGTGACTAACTAATGTTTAAGAACAGTTAGATTGGTCTCTACTCACCAATTCCTAGACGAGTATTGCAACTTGCATAGCTAGCAGTTCCAGTCAAGTTTTTGTTTTCTCTGAGTTACAATGTGTAAATAGTTTATTATCACTTAAGCATTCAGAAGGATAAGACAAAATAAATGCAGAGAACAACTCCCTCAAAGATTAAAAAAAAAACACTGAATTTTCTATATCTGGTAATCATAAGCTTTCATGAAATTTATCTCTGTAGTGTTCCTTCACTTATTTATTAATCTAGATGAATCTAACCCTGGTAATAAATATGAAAATTCATCCATACTCCACAAGTTGGTAGCTTAGGAGGCCTAAACTAACCTTTATCCTAATCATGCAATATGCAGTAACAAAGAGTGACATGAAAACTGTATAGGTCTTGCTTGAGAAGTGGATTACACACCTGTATGGGATATGACGATTTGTGGTAGAATCCCTATACCTTTTTGCAAGCCCAAAATCGATGATGTATACCTGGACAACCATATTCAAACAGATGTAGTTGGCAAAATACCATCAAATTGCATATACAACCATGAAACTGATTTAGATTAGAGGCACTTAAAGTTGCTACCTGATTGGCCTTCCTTCCAAGACCCATCAGAAAGTTATCAGGTTTAATGTCTCTGTGCAAAAAACCTTTCGAGTGCACATACTCTATTCTTGTAATCTGTAGTATATTGAAGTATATCGAGCAGTAAAATCTTGAGTTATAAAGTTGTAAGCAAGAAAATAAACATATAACATGAAACAAAGTCCATTTGCATCTTTTACATGAGGTTTAGTTGACAATCCTAGAGGGCACTTAGAAATTAGAATAACAGGTAAATGCAGCATTCCTTAAAAACAAGATGGGAGTCAAGTGTCCAATGTTCTAAATGAATCTGACATGGGGCTTCAAGAGAATGCAAGATGAAGACATTGCTTTGTAATAGATTATGTATATATATTCATGTAGATGCACATGATGTACATACCAACATAGAAATGCATATGCATAGATGCATGAACAGGCCAAAGCATGCACTCACATACACAAACAGGCCAAAGTATGTACTCATATATACAGGAACCTGCACATAACCAGCATATTGATGCAATAAATGGCACATTCCTTGATGATTCATAGAAACAGAAACATGTCTTGGTGGACTTCAGCATAAACCGAGAAAGAGAAATCTACTTTAACAATGATACTTAGAAAAATATGAAATCTACTTTAACAATGATACTTACAAAAATATCGATGAACCCAAAACATTGATCAAGTATCAAACATGAAAGACACTAACTCTTACTCCAATGGCCTTATACAATACCAAACATATTTTTATGTTAGGACGAATAAGTTCACCACATTAAGAACTATGGATCATCCACTCATTTAGTATGAAGAACACGGTCATGGATTCAAACAATTCTTTCAGATTAAAGGATATCAGTGATTTAAAAAGCGCTAGACGCTCGCCCGAGCGAAGCGAGACGCTCTAAAATATTAAAATATAAAAAATAATATTATTAATATAATAAATAAATATTATTTTGTACAATAATTGATAATCTACGGTTAACAGTATATTTACTGTTAACAAATAGTTAGAAGGAAAATGACAGTGAGAAGTCGCGGTGAGAAGTCAGCGGACAACAGTCATGGCAACAGATAGCAACAACGACAGCAAAGTCGCGGACAGCAAGAGGTAGCAAACAACAACGACAGCGGAGTCGCGGACAGTAGGAGGCAGCGGAGTCGCATCGTGGACAACAACAAGCAGTGGACAGCAGTAACGACAGCAGTAGACAGCGGACAGTAGCATAAGCTGAGGAGACTCGGAGACAACAGAAGAAATTATTGGCGGCGGAGGCAAGAGGGAGAAATCGTGGGCAGTGAACACAGAGGGAGAAATCGTCGGCGACGGGCACAGAGGGAGAAAGCATAGGGTTGGGAGTCGGGGTCGCACGTAGGTTTTGATATAACTACGTGCGTTAGTTGGTTCAATTGAACCAACTAACGCAAATTTAATCGAACTAGACTTAAAAAGTTTGGTTCGGTCACTTATATCAATCGGACGCTCACTCGAAGTGCTCGACGCCTGGGCTCGGGTGAGCACCTCATTGAAGCGCGCTGCCTGGCCCTTAAACAAGGTGCTCGGGCCTCGCCTCACCTCGCCCGAGCGCCTTTTTAAATCACCAAAGGATATTATGGCTATTTCCAGTGAACTTGTCATGACCCAAGCCTGATGGGTTAACTATCCTATTAATTTCGTTTAACCCAAACCACTAACCAAAATGCTTAAGTTGAAGTTAATAGTAGTACACTCATCAAATCCTTATAAGTCAATCTTAATCTTGCCCACTTCCGATATGGAACTAATCGGGGTGTTACAATTTCCATCACTCAAGGGCTTGGCGTGCTCGTCAAGGCCAAGCATAGCCCAGATAAAACCCTAACATAGTGCATGTGAGGCGTAGCCCAGTGGTGGCTCCACACCATGACGAATCCTTTGACTCCATCCACGAGTAGCCCTTTCCTACTTGTGCCCCTTCACCATGCTCAAACACTCGGCTCTGATACCAAATGTCATGACCCAGGCTTGATGAGCTAATTGGCCTATCAACTTCGTCTAACCCAATTCACTCGCTAAAATGTCTAAGCTGAAATTGATAGTAGTACACTCATCAGACCTTTATAAGCCAATCTTAGTCTTGCTCACTTTCGATATGGAACTAATCGAGATATTATATAATCTCATGAGGCATCCAAGACAATCACCTCATGAATGTTATCCTATAAAAGAAAAGAAAGAACTAGATTTTGAAAAAATATATGAAATATTTGATAGAGCTGGATGTATTTGCACTAGAGATTTGTACCTTTGTGCTGCTTTTAGCATAATGATAATCAGTATCTATTAAGGAGCCTTGGAACTAAAGGTTCATTATGTGATTCATATAACAATCAGTGATTTAAAAAGCGTCAGGCGCCAAGGTCCAAAAACGCCCAAGGTGCTCGTCCGAGCGAAACGAGGCGCTAAAATATAAAAATATATAATATAATTAATAAATATAATTATTTAAATAAAAAATATGCTATTAAATTAAGAAAATCAGGTACAAAATCACAATAAATAAATAAATCATAATAGTTTATTTTTTATTTTTTAAATAAAAAAATATACTATAAAATAAATAAAAATTAATAGTATTAAAATCAAAATAATATATTATTAACCTAATAAATAAAAATACTATTATTAGTATACAGTTAGCAGTATACTATTAATATATTGTTAACAGTATAGTGAGAAGAGTGTGAGAAGTACGAGGCTGAGGCAACCGCAACGGTAGCAGGCGACAGTCGTAGCTGAAGCGGAAGCAACGAGCGGCGGCGACAGCAGCGGCGAGCGATGACAACAGCGGCGAGCAGTGACAGTAGCAACGAGCAGCGACAGTGGCAGCGACAGTAGAGAGCAGCGACAACAGAGAAGAAATCGCGATCGCAAGTGTTAGGGTTGGGGAAGTCGGGGAAATCGCGAGAGGGAGCCTGATATCGATGATTTAGTTGGTTCGATTGAATTAACTAAAGCATCGGAGACCAACCAAACCTAAAAATCTGGTTCGGTCACCTATTTTAACCCAGGCGCTCGCCCGAAGTGCCCGGTGCCTAGGCGGCGCCTCTTTGAAGCGAGGCGCTCGAGCCTCGCCTCGTCTCGCCCGAGCGCCTATTGAAATCACTGATAACAATAACAAGAACAAGAAGTCCTGAAGTCCCAACTATTTAAAGTTGGCTTTATAAATCTTTTTATGTCATTGAGCTCTATAGAAAACAATTTTCTTAGTTAATCAAAAGCATTTAAAATTTTCTTTATAGTTTCTAGAGAAGTCTTTTTGGTCCTCTTTTACCTCTTGCACGACTTATATTAATATCCTTAGTTCTTCTTAGTATTATTAAAGTTATATTTTATATATTTAGTCTTGTTTTACTTAATTTCACGCTATGAGATTTGTCTTCCTAACTCAAACTTAAAGTTAATCAAACTCTCATCAATTATGATAATATCATCAGCATACAACAGTGCCTATAGAAATAGAAAAAAAGATAATATCATGTCAGTAATCAAGACTAGTTGTGATAGTTAAAGAATGATTAACATCTTTTATCTACATTGTTTCTATCAAATCTTCAAACAATTATATTACAACCGTCCATAGTCTCATATGCTAGAATGGGGTCACAGCAGATAGTTTGTCATTGTTGAACGTGTTTTCTTACCTTTTATTTATTAGATATGATAGTTTAAGGTTTTTTTTCTATTTATGCAATTTGCAAGTCATTGTTTATTGGTTCACAAGTTTCCACTATAATTATGTAACTGAGAAATTATTGAGTTCATGATTCAATCCTATCTAATCCCATCTAAGGGTTAGCTACGATTTAATAATTAGGAAATCATACCCAGACTCATACACCTTCAAATAAATGCTTATATGAGAGAGCATCTACGTTTCTTTTATTGGCTGAAGTATGTGAAACATACTTCAGCTTTCTATCCAACCATTTAAGTGCTATTCTTAATGCTATTGTACACTTTTGAATATCTTTAATTTCTTTAAAACTCTCTACATGTAGCTCCAAATTGTGCAAAGCTGTAAAAAGCAGATACTAGAACTATTCCATGAAAATACTTATTCCACAAAATGTTACTTTCCCATTACCATTTGATCTGCAAGCATAAGAACAGTCTTCAATGAGAACTTGCAACTGCAATAGACAAACAAACCCTCCAGACTTGGACCAAGCAAATCGAGAACAAGAGCATTATCCTCTCCATCAATGCCGCACCATTTTATGCTCGGGATGCCACCTGAATGCATGAGTCCATAATGAAATTATCTCATAAATTCAAGAATAGGTATGGTGCTTTGCCACAACAACAATGGACCTACTTCCTCCCTGAAGAATGTTATACAGCTTGGCCTCATAAAACAACTGTGGGTGCTTGGCCCTTCTGTTTTCCTGCATCCATGTTTAGCCAATATAAGCCAGCACACAAACCAGTAACACTAGACAAATCAAGCCATCATGATATGAATCACATCTAAGCAAATTCTCTAAAAAACCTGAAAGATTTGTAACACTGAGACTTCCACAGGACCAGTGCTCTGAGCATCCAAATATTATTATAAAATAAAATAAAACATCAAAATCGAAAAGAACTACTGACTTATAACCATGAAATCCAGTTGCGCAAATTAATCAGCACTTCAATTCATGTCGTCCAGCTTACACCATTCTAGCCGGACCATATAATACCGCATCGCACGTCAACTTAGTCTTCCTCTAGAAGTTAAAAATACAACAATTAGTCTAAAAATTAACCAAACGCCTCCAATCGCCCTAAAGAAACCAAATCTTTAGAATTAATTGGAGAAAAAAGTGAAGAACAAAAAAAAAACGAAATCTTCCTCTAAAATCGGCAGGCATAGATCGGGAAGATATCAAACAAAAAAAGATCAGACAACTTACGATCTTCACCGCGACGATCTCAAACGTGTCAAAGTGGGTCGCTGAAACAGACAAAATCAACACAAGCAGATTAGAACCGACAAGAACAAAGAAAAACGAGCCGCGAGACGAATTGATGGATAGAAGGAGAAATAGGGTGCCGATTCATTCACCAAGATAGATCTCGCCGAAGGATCCACTGCCGATCTTGCGCCCTAGCTTGTACTTCCCCCCGATGATCCGATCCATTCCCTACTCGTCCTCCGTTCCTCCGTCAGATGAGCATCAAAAAATAGGGCTTCGATCGGAGGCAAAGAATTCGCGAGAGAGAGAGGGGTCAAGGGAGAGAACTCCGGATACGGAGTAGTCGTCACCTTCGACGACGGGGCATTTCCGGTAATTTCTAGGACGACACTCGCGAACAACCCGTTCCTTTGTTATCAGTGTCGACGGGAGACGGTCCGCTTGAACCGATCCGAACGGGAAACGGTTTTTTTTTAACCGTCGGGTATTGTTATAACAAATTTCATTAACAAATTCCTCCTTTTCTAATTATATTAACATATCTTAATTATAGTTATTATATGAATATATGATTAACTAACGTGTATAAGAACTCCTCAGTCCATGGATTTTTTCCCCCTTTGGTTGCATTGCGGGAGGAGAACCGGTCGATCTACTTTGAGAAACGTGTCACTCCTCGAACGGATGGCGTGGATTTCCAATGGGAACGATGTATCCGAGCATACTTTCTTAATGATGATTAAACTCATGTTAAGTGATGCTTTTTATTCATGTGTGGCAATAATAATGACAATGATAACAAAGCAAACTGACTCAATGGGAAGCAGCAACAGCTCTGCTAATACAGAGGCAGAGAACACTCGGGGGCCGTCTTCCCGTTGAACCTCTTCTCGTCCTGGCAGTAGTCATAGATCATGTACTTGCTCCTTACCCACATCAGCTGACCCTGCTGTGCGTAGCTCAGCTTACTGTAAGCCGGCGAAGTCCACCAATTCGCCGGGGTACTCGCAGAACACTGCGCAGTGCTGCCTTGCCAGTACGGACAAGCTCTCAGGTTCACTTGCTGGTATCTCGCCGTGAATGGAGCGTTCTTCCAGTCTATCTTCACGAGCCCACCTCTGGTCGCCCAGCCGTCGCCGTTCCAAATGCTGGAGTAGGCCCTCATCGCTTGCTGGTTGGGGAACGCGATTCCATACTGCTGATAGTTTCTGAAGACTCGAATGGGAATGCCGTCAATGAACCACCTGCAACAGTAGAACAGAGTCGATGACCATTATATGTTCAGAAACTACAGGGGAGTTGTGCTTCAGCTTATCACAGAGAGCTTACACGACTTGGCTTGGATTCCAGTGTATGGTGTAGTTGTGGAAAGCAGCAGTCGGGTCGAACCAAGGATAGAACTGCACTTCTCTGTTTCCCACCCCTTGCGTGTAGATGTTGGTGTGGATGATGTAGGGTTGGCCGGACACGTTGCCGAGGAATTCGAAGTCGATCTCGTCATGCTTGTCCCCTGTCGAAGACATCTGGACCAAACGCAGAGGAAGAAACTACTCAATCCAACATCAGACATACTCTGTTTACGTGTTTCACGATAAGCATTTCGGAGCGGGACTTACGTAATATGTAGTCACAGTGCCAGCAGAGTTCCCGGGGACCAGCTTGATCTGCATTTCTATGCTTCCAAAGAGAAACTGATTCGAAGATTGGATTCCACAACCTAAAAGCATTCACCGAAACATATTAGATGGTAAAGACGATCCTCCAAATTCTATTTTGACTGCGCATGCATCCATTATGCCTCGTTTCACCTTCTTAAATAGAAAAAGGATGATTTCTTATGAATCTACTTAAAAAAGGAGCAACTATTGCATACCTGAGATGTTATTGAGGCTGAGTGCGAAGTTTTGGCCATTGTTCCAGACAGCCAAGTTCTGGGGACCCCAGTAGCAGGACATGTCTCTGTAGAAGTTGAAATCTGCTGCCATAGTTCGTTCCTTGGCAACAAGAAGAACAAGACCGGCGACGACGAGAAGGAGTGCACGAAAATTCGCCATTGCCGGTCCTCGAGTTCCTCCTCTGTTGAGATGGCAGAAGCCATGAATGCATCAGTATATATAGGCTTCTTCGAGGTGTGCAATGCATCGAAAGAACAGAGCATGATCATGAAGACATGTTCACCTCAGCATGTCTGGCCATTATTCTTCCCCAGCTATGTTTGATCCAATACAGGCATTGGTTTCAGAGAGTTGTGCCCCCCACTAATGCCTCTGGACTTTATTATGCATCTTGCTGATATATAAACATATATTTTGTTGACCAACTGCTCTTCTTCTCATGTAATGTTCAGCCTAGCAAACTCATAATTATTTACATTTAATTCCATGGGAACATAACCTGTGGGTCTCAAACAACGAATATGGACTTAATATGGTATCGGATTTAATATGTTTCCTTCCTATGCGAAGACCAATGTCGGTAAAAGTTTTTGACATGATCCTTTTTAACATTCAACTTAGTTTTCCGAAATAGATAAGAAAAAAGAAGATTAAGAGAATGATAAGTAACGAGGGGGGTTGGTTTTAAGTGGTATTTACGTGACTGTAGATAGATTAAGGAATGATTGATTCTGTATCGTAAAGCTGAATCAAAGAATAATCTCACCTTAAGTTATTTTGAATATAAATAAAGATATAATTGTTTTACTTTGAAATTTTAAAAAATTTAAGATTATTCATGTAGAGTAATAGATATGCAAACTAAGTAGCATAACATGCCGCGTCTTTGGTTTTCAGCATTCTACCCAATAATTTTTTATTGACTCTAATTAGATCTCAATTCAATAATTTAGAGGTTTATTGAATATCTAATAAGATAAGGGCTCCTAGCTCATATCCGAACATCTATTCGTCGTAATACCTATTATCGTCGTACACTCCATACTTTCTAACTCACAATTAGTTCCACCTGACCTAACTTCATATCACTAAATTGAGATTCCAATCTTTCTAATGCAAAAAATATTGAGGGAAGAAGTTATTGGCGTCTTATTCAGTCCGATGTGATTCGGATCCGTATACATAGGATTGTTTGATTTATCTTCAAGGTATTCCACCTGACTCAACCTAAATTAACATTTCAATCTTTGTAATGCCAAAAATATTGAGAGAAGAAGTTATTGACGTCTTAATATGTGGTTCAGATTCGTATGCACAAGATTATTTGATTTATCTTCGAGATAAAAATATCGAGCTCCCCAACTTTTTTTTTTTGAGAAAAAGATAATTTTGGACATCGGCTTAGAATATCCAACGTTATATGCTATGGAGCGGTTTGGAATTTCGGATTTGGTATGAGAATTATTGGACATGCTGCGTCCATATGCACGCGTTTTAAAGCACCAGTCACGGATGCACTACATAGTACATCGACCCGAGTCCGTTATTATTTGAGGTGGGCTTATGGATCAAGGCCAATGGCAAGGGTGCGGATTCATGTCATTCGAACCCGACACGATCTCTTAACGGATCGTTAAAGACGGGTCGGATCCGAATTTGACCCGCCGGGCTCAGGTCCTCTCAATTCTCGAGCATCGTCGACCTCGTCGAAGAAGAAACAAGCGGACTCCCCCGCTCACGTACGTCTCCACCCTCAGCCACCTGTTGCTCTTCCCACACTCCACACGCCACTTCGCTCCTCTCCTCACCTCACCTCTCTCTTTCTCTCCGTACCTTAACGGGGAGAAAGAAGAAGAGAGACGACATCGCGGCCTTCCCATTTCCTCTTATTTGGAGTTTCTTTTCGGCTATCGCCCTTCATATCATATACCAAAAGATCTCCATGGAGGTCGCCTCATCTGCCGCTCTGACCCGCCGGAGTGCCTTCCCCACCGCTTCCGCTGCCCCGAATCGGAGGCCTGTTAATCCGTTGACGGCTGGGCTGGTGCCCTTTTCCACCCATCTGCCCTCGCTGGCCCGAGGGCTTGGGTGCCGGGCGGTGTCCCGAGACCTGGCGCCGGTTCCGGCAGCGTCGGATGGAGAAGAGAAGACGCCGGTCTCCGCTGCGCCTGTTTACACGCCCACTCCACCTAACAGGGAACTTAGGACTCCCCATAGCGGGTAATCGTATATGACTACCGAAGTTTGGAAATTTAGTTCGGTGATTTGTGTTGGCTTGAATTCCTATTTGGCATTTTTTACTATTCAAATTTTCTTTAGTTATGGCTGTGATTGTTAAGATGGGTTTGGTGATTCTTATTGGCCCATCCCTGTTTCTTGAAGAAACAGTAGATGTTTATGCAGGAATCCAAGTCATAAATTCAGGTTTTACTACGGTCCTCCTATTCAGCATCTTATTCTTTGCTCAGAAAATGATTATTTTATAGTTTCATGCAGCTTGTTTCTTCTCTGGCTTCTCTAGATTTATTCAGCTTGATTAATATGTATTCACCAAGTTCTAAATATTATGTACTCTTTTCTTCTTTAAGTTATAATTCAACATTCTTTTAATAGTTGTTAAGTGGTTGACAACATCATCATTTTTTATTGTTAAAAGAAAAGGGAAATGTATAATATGTTGTTATGTGTTCTTTCGGTCCGCGCAACTTGCTTAGTTCCAATCAAGTCAATGTGAAAATTTTCAGGTATCATTTTGACGGGACTACACGGTTGTTTTTCGAAGGATGGTATTTCAAGGTATCGATCCCTGAGTGTAGGCAAAGCTTCTGCTACATGTACTCGGTGGAGAATCCTGCATTCCCAAATGGAATGGGATTGTTGGATAATGCAGTGCACGGGCCTCGCTTTACTGGGGTTGGAGCTCAGATTCTTGGTCCCGATGATAAGTATATATGTCAATTTACAAAAGATTCAAAGAATTTTTGGGGAAGTAAGCCTCTTTTTTTTGCTTAAATAATGCCATTTTCTTGTAGTATTGTTTGCTTATAATGCAAGATTTCTTATAATAAGTTATGGCCTTGTTCCTCATTGATTTCTCTAACATAATCCAAGTCCCCATTTTGATTGATTAATGTGACAAAACTATCAATAAGTAAAAAAGACCACATTGGAGTAGCTTAAAATTGTCCTATGAATGTTTAAATAGCATCTATGATGTTGGAAGACAATTTATCTAGATAAAGCAGAGGGATCTAGTCTCTTGAAGAATGTCAGCTTGTGTTGAGCTACCACGACAATCAATTTTAGTGTCTGTAAAATTAATATTTACATAAAGAATATTGTCAAGATTAAACCAAGAATCCTAGGATTCATATGGATGCCATTCCAATGATTAGAGTGGTTAAACTTTACCGAGGGGACCTGGTTGTTCATGAGTCAAGAGTTTTGTCACTGACTATGCATATCCAAGTTTGTAAACCAAATTGATGCTGATGACAGCATTCGACAAAATGTCTATTTGGTTGACAACTGGGAATCAAAACTAGATTCTGGATAGTTTAGTTTTGACCATGTCTAATGGTTAATCTAGTAAATCGATCTTATGCTGCATATTGGGCTGGCAAGATCCAAGCCTGATTAAAAGTCCCTTTTATCAAAAAAAATTAATTTTTGCAGTCTACTAAGTACTGATTTGTTGACTTTGGATTGTCGGGATTGACTTAGATATCTGATCTAGCTGATTTTTGTTGATCTCAAACAATGTGAGGCAACTAGTAATAGTTCTTAGCTGTATCTGGCTCAATTCATGGTTGATCTAACCCATGAAACTTGATTTTAACTGTCACCACATTAAGAAAAGAGAAAGCAAAAATGCTGACATATGAATAAACCCCTCTTTGACCTTTTTTCCATATTTGGAAAGAAAAAAAGATAAAGAATACAACAATACAAACAATATTTTATTTGACATATGCATATTGTTTGATACTTTGGGTTATGAAGAAAATTTTGAAGTTTTTTGTTTTCTGGGTGCTTGTAGCTTTAATTTTATGCCTGTGCTTTTGATGACTGTGTCACAGTATGATGGCTATTGCCACAGAATACATTATAGTAATATATTCTACTGTTGTTATATTTTTACTTTTAACATTTATGTGAATCCTGTGGCAGATAATTATGTTATTTTTCTTGTTCTTTTATATTCTGCTTCTATTTTTTTGCGTTAGCATTTAGCACTTTGTATTGAATGATGTTATGTTCATTTGAACATAATTCCTATCTACTAAATGTTATTTCATAGGTAGGCATGAACTTATGCTGGGAAACACCTTTGTAGTTGGGAAAGGTTCAACTCCTCCATTTGAGGAGATTCAACCTCAGGTTCAACTCCTTTTATTCTTATTATTCACAGTTGGTGAACACCTTATTTTGTATGTTTCTTTTATTTTTATGGTTTAGCTATCTCGTTTAGTAATTAGCATAATTTCGTGCATAAATATAATTAACTATTTTTACATGAAAAAAAAATCATGAACTAGCAACTGAAAATAAACAAGTATAGGATAGTGTCATATATAACTCAACTCAGGTTACTTCTTTGCAACCTAGTTATGGGTGACCAAGATTTGAGTTGTGGACCGGGAGTTACAGAGATAATCTACTTGCTTATAGGGTAAGGCTGCATATATTGACCATCGTCATATCTTAATATGGTGGGAGCAACATCACTCAAAAGTTCATGTCTCAACAACTCACGTACGATCATACATCGTGGTAACTCAAGTACTCAATCTGAAACCACATGCAGTGTTTTGTGAAATTCTGTCCTACAATGTTGATGTTGTGTACTTACTACAGATTCTCTATACTGGTCCAGAATCATGAGGGCTGTTGATATCTAGTCACTGTTAAATAATTTTGGTGTACACGAGGACCAATCATCCATGTGGAGACGACTCGCCAATCTCCACTATGTTAGGGTTGGGATTGATATGGGAACAAGATTTGGGCTGGAAGGAGTATTCAAAATGTAGATAAGCATGTCCATTGGAAAATTTCACCTATGTGGATTATGAATTGGGACGTTGGTTGTCAAGAGCTGGCTCATGAATGGAAGTTATTTGGGTGCTGATCGGTGATAATCAGATCTGGCAGACTGGGATCATAACTTGTTGTAGTCATCTGACTGGAAATCCGTTCAAGGTTGCTGGCTTTAGTATAGATTGGAGATGATTGATGCTAGATATAACAATGGCAAATCTATTGAATAGATTGGTTAACAAAAACAAAAAACAAAACTGAAAATGTTACTTTCAGTGTGAATTACTAGGATTTTATAGCAAAAAAAAAAAGGATTGGTCTTGGATGGCTGGCCAGGGTATGAGTGTGTGTGGCAGGTGAAGTCCATTTGGAGTAAGGCGAGTGTGTTTGGCCTTTTGGGTTTGGGGGAGGGTGTCAAATCTTACTTGTATTCACACCAACACTTGGATCCATGCCTCAATGGTTTGGGGTGGTCAGTGGTTTGCAGGATCAAGTTGCTGATTAGGCGGTGAGATTGAGAAAGAAGGGAGGCTGGATGGTACTCTAGCCAAGGGTAAGAATTTGAGGGCAGAAGCATTAAAATAAGATAAAATAAACTCAGATAACCAATGAAGTTTTGATCAATTTAGAGAAGTGTGCATTCAAACGTGATATACTAGACTAGTACTCCGGCGGTATACGCAGGTCTATGCTGGATTTCAGACTTGCATGTACTTCCTGGTCCTGCATCTACACTGTAGGGCTTGATTCTGTGGATATTTGTATTCTTATGCACAATATGTAAAATAGACTTTGTGATATTTATGAAAGGACATTGCAACATAATGTTTTACAGTAAACCATGATAATAGGAACTATTGATTTTCACTTGTTTAGTTTATAATATATCTTGCTGAAATTTTTTGGAAACTGAAACTTGCATAACACATTAGTAGGATTCTACCTGACATACATGTATATGAGATCATATCTAAAATTATAGCATATGCATGATAAGCATGTGCTTATATAAGTAATGAATAAACATCTGTAATTTTTCTCCATTAAATGCTATCTTAGTAATTCAAATTTTGGCTTGTTTATGCAGGACTTCCGTAAACGTGTTTCAGAAGGTTTCCAAGTCACTCCCCTTTGGCATCAGGGTTTCATACGTGATGATGGAAGGCATGTCTTATCATCATAAGAGAGCTTATTTGTTATATTGTTTGTAATAATGCATTATGTTTATTTGTGTTGCATATTCTACTTGCAAATTTTCCTTATTACCTTTTTTCATCACTCTCTGTATCTCTTAAAGAAATTTCTAGATTTTTTTATGCACTCTATTAAGCATATTCAAGTGAAAGAAACATGCAATTGTAAGAATCGGACTAAAACAATCAAAATTTGTTTTTCGGAACCTGGGACTTCCTTTTGTGGAAAAAATAATCCTTTTCTATTATCTTTGTGATATCATCAGCACCTCACAACAAAATTTGTAACTGGAACAATTATCTATTTGATTGGTGTTGTTTTAGGTGCCTAGATATCTATGATTTTCAGACTTTCCAACCACTAGATGTTTAGTGTAGTCAATTTCACCATGTTGCATCAAATAATGTCATTTAAGTCTTATAATCAACTGTATTAATCTCATCATTATCCTCAACTGGTAGGTCGAATTATGTGCAAACTGTGAAAACAGCACGCTGGGAGTACAGCACCCGTCCAGTTTATGGCTGGGGTGATGTCAAATCAAAGCAGAAATCAACAGCAGGCTGGCTTGCAGCATTTCCTGTGTTTGAACCTCATTGGCAAATATGCATGGCAGGTGGTCTGTCAACAGGTATTAATTGCATTGTGACCGATGCAAGAAAGAAACCTGAGGTCCTAAGCATTCCTGTTAGAGTGTCATTTGTGAAAATGAATATAGTATCTTGTCATTTGCCTACCTTATGTAGTAAACAGTTAAATAAATTATTTGCATGCAAGATTTGATATAGATGTATACATATTCATCTAGACATGTCATTTTCATGTGTACCTGTGCATGTTCATCGTTTGTTCGGGTGAGGGGCTTGGGGATGTTGGGCAGGGAAAAGTTCCTTCAATTCCTGATTCCACAGCAGAAGAGAGCATTTTCTTTAGAGCTTAGTTTGTCCATGTTGATTACTGGTGATAACCTAACCAGTGATTGAAAAAGGCGCTCGGGCGCTCGCCTAGGCGCTCGGGCGAGGCGAGGCCCGAGCGCCTCGCTAATGTCCCAGGCGACACGCTTCAAACAGGCGCCGCCTGGGCGCTTCGGGCGAGCGCCTGGGTAAACCAAGTGACCGAACCAGGATTTTAGGTCTGGTTCGATACTGGTTCGGTTGTTAGTTGGTTCAATCGAACCAACTAAACCGATATATCCCTTACCCAACCATAACCCTTACCCAACCCTAACCCGTTGCCGCTGCCGCTCCCGATCCCGATCTCGCTGCTCGTCGCTCCTCTTCCCGCTGCCGCTGCTCGCCGTTGTCGCTGCTCGCGCCTCCCGCGAGCCCTCCCGCGAGCCTTCCCGCTGCTCGCGACTCCCGCGAGCCCTCCCGCTGCTCGCGCCTCCCGCGAGCCCTCCTGCTGCTCATGCCTCCCGCTCCCTTTCCCTTTCCCGCCGTCGCTGCTTCCTCGTTTCTCCGTCAGGCTCAGTATACAGTATACTCTTAATATTAAGTTTATTTGAATTTTGAAATGATTAATTTTCAATACTGTTAATAGATTAATAATATATTATTTTGATTTTAATGTTGTTAATTTTTATTTATTTGAAATTATTGTTAGGTTTCAACATAAATGACTTTGATGTAAAATTTTATTGTTTTGAATTTTGAAACTTTTTGTTAATGTGACATTGTGATTTTGTATCTTAGATTTTCTTAATTTAATAGCATATTTTTATTTAAAATTTTAAATAATTATATTTATTAATTATATTATATATTTTTATGTTTTAGCGCATCGCTTCGTTCGGGCGAGCGCCTAACGCCTCCGGCGTTTTTGGACCTTGGCGCCTAGCGCTTTTTAAATCACTGAACCTAACTTCTCTGTAATTTATTCCTCTCTTTGTGATTACTTTTCACGTTGTATCAAGCCTTTTGACTTTGGTGTAGTATCTCTTTGTTACAGAGACAAATTTAAGAAAGCAGCATTAGTTGCTTTGTTGGACAGTTTGCTACATTCCCCCCGGAGAAATAACATGCATTACCCCTAATGGTTTAAATAAATGAGCTAACGGTCCAACCAATATACAAGGAAATATTTAAATAATTTCTGTCACAACCAAAGTACCAGAGGTCCTATTTTTTTTTAGGTCTAGATCTCTGATTATCTGGTGCCTATTGTAATCAATAGCTGAATTGTAGTATATAAGGAGACCCAGTATAACATCTCCAATCCATAATTATTATTGCTCTAAATGGAGTTTACTCCATGAGTGGAGTTTTGCAGGTCAGACTTTTTTAAAGACAAATATTTACTCTATTTAAAAATCCTCACAATTCTAATATGCTTATCACGGGCCCAATGGTAGATCCAGTATTTAGGACCTAGAAATATTAAAATTTAAAATAAATTTATCTTAGCCTGTTTGGCTTCTATGTGCAATTTACAGGTTGGATAGAGTGGGATGGAGAACGTTTTGAATTCGAAAATGCCCCATCCTATTCAGAGAAAAACTGGGGTGCTGGATTTCCAAGAAAATGGTTTTGGGTATGTCTCCGTTTTGGTATGATTACAGTTTATGATCTTGTAATATTTTGCATGGGATGATCTTTAATGCCCTTCACCAATCTGTATGTTATATGTCTTGAGTATTGGAATGTGTCAAGAAGTCCTGTGAGGTAAAATCAACTCAATTCGTGCTCCCTTTTCATGCAAAATACAACAGAAGTGGCTCCGTTGGAGTTGTATGCTTATTGTTGTTACGTGTTTTCTGCAACCTAATTTTGTATAAGTGAACGTGATTGATGACAGAAGGAAATTTGACTTTGGTTACACTCTCTTTGAGATTACTAGCAAGTGTGGTGTCTATTGAATCTAATTACTCTAGCTTCTTTATGGAACAGCATTAGTAGCAATGCTGTTTGTGAAACAGCAACCATTTGCTTCTAAATTAATCTTCTTTTCTTGATTGAAACATGTGTAGCTCATCTGAAGACAAGGCTTTGTCCAAGATAATTCAAGTGAATGATCATGTATTTCTAATAGTCTTAATACAATCCCCAAACACAGGGAGCCTGAACTAACTCTTTCAAAGTCGATCAAATATGGGTTTCTGATGTGAACAAGAGACCCCCATCTCTAAATAACAGGGTGAAGTAATAAACAAAAGGTCATGCATGGTTTTTCTCAAGTAGACTTTTTGCCAATCATAATAATCATTTTATTATATGTGGCTAACAACACTGCTGATATATGAGTCTAAAGTATATAAAATATGTTTTTGTTTTCATTGTGTTTTCTCTAGGAGATCTTATATGAGATCATTGTCAGTAAATGATCCATGTAGCTTCTTAAAAATAATTGGGATCTTACAGCTCATTGGTTTTGCTGTTATACTTAGATATTCACATCTGTGAGGATGATTGGCCCTACATCTATTGCAGGTGCAATGTAATGTCTTTGAAGGTGCATCAGGAGAGGTTGCTTTAACTGCAGCTGGAGGCTTGAGGAAGTTGCCTGGTTTGATTGATAACTATGAAAATGCTGCCCTGGTATGATGCTGAAGAACCTGGCATCGTCATGCACAAGCTTATACATACACATGTTACATGTTGCGTATCCTATATGAGTATACATACACATGTTACATGTTGCATATCCTGTACGAGTATACATGCACATGTTTGTGTGAAAGAGTTGTAGACTCCTTTTGCTGTTTTGTGTCATTTGCACTAGTTTTCCATATAAATCATTGTTTTTCTTTTCTGCATTGTTCTGCCTCGTCTGAATGCCCTATTTAACAGAAGGAAGCTAAAAACTATTTGGTAAAAGTGTCAATGGTAGTGTCTGAAGGAAATCCTTGACATGGATGATGGAAGACTGTTGCTCGTAATTTTTTTCCCATCTGAGTTATAGCAATTTTTTCACCTATTCTCCCACCACTAATTCATCCTAAGAACTTATCTCCATATAGAGTGCAAGGATTATGCGTGGATTATTATCCAAAAGAATCTTGGTGTAAGAGACTCCACTTGGCACATTGAAATTGACTATTTTAAAGGATATCATTTTATAGTGTGCTCTCTTTTATTACTGTACCAATATTAGTTTTCTGTCATTTATTCTTTTACTGTTTTCTATTATGGTGAGACAAACTAACAGGCTACTAGAATACACTGATATCATTTTGCAACTTCAGATTGGAGTCCACTATGGAGGATCTTTCTATGAATTTGTGCCTTGGACTGGAACTATAAGCTGGGATATAGCTCAGTGGGGCTTTTGGCATATGTCTGCAGAAAATGACACACATGTGGTAACTTACCTATATCCTGTTCTCAAGAATTGAATTGGATTCTACATTATGTAATCCTTGAATGTTTCTCTTTACTACTTTCGTGCTGTCATGCTGGTGTAGTCTTATTAATGCTTAGAAGTCAAAACTAATGCCTGCCTTAGCTAAATTAGTTTCTATGGAATAGCCCAACAGTCATTCTTCAGGCCTAATCCATGGTTTCACCCAAGCAATAATCCAGAGCTTAAAAGGTGACATACTCTTTTCCGGCCATGTCCAGAAAAGATGAGACTTTTGGGGATCACACCGCATTGATGTGTTTTTGCCCAACCAGATGCCTCAGAAGACCGTGAAGCTGGATTGATTTAGAAACCTTGTTTTCCAAAACCAGCTTTGGGGTCTTTATTTACTAGCAAAGTGGCTAATTTACACGATATGTTTTTTATCGATTGTTGTTTTGCAAATAAATGTTTCTCTTTTAGCATGTTCTTCATCTGTTCCCTTGAAAATTAGATTGAGTTAGAGGCTACAGCTGGAGATCACGGAACTCCTTTGCGAGCCCCAACAACAGAAGCTGGTTTTGTGACGGCCTGTAAAGATACGTGTTTCGGTGATCTTAGACTACAACTATGGGAACGCAGAAATGGCGACGGTGGCAAGGGCAAGGTCCGTTTCTTTCTCAGAACACAAATCTGTTCATCATGTTTCCATTTAGTAGAATTATCCTATAAATGATGTGTTAAACTGCTAGTCTTGCACACATCAACCAAAGATATAAAAAAGATGTGTTTAACCGCTCATCCATATGTTTCACAGATGATCCTCGACGTTAGCAGCAACATGGCAGCCCTGGAGGTCGGTGGGGGGCCATGGTTTTCGGGTTGGAAAGGGTCGACATCCTCGCTGGAGGTCGTGAGGCGTGTGCTTCGAGTCCCCATCGATGTGGAGAGCTTCTTCCCTCTTCCAATCTTCAAGCCGGCTGGCCTGTAGTTTATCACTCATGGTGGGATTATGGAAGTACACATAGAAACATATTCAAATGAGCCTGGTGTCATATCCATGCATTAGCAAAGAATACGAGTCGTATCCATCCCTTACGGCGAATTCACTGTAACAAGTGCAACAGATACTGATATGGAAGCAGGGCAGGATAATGATCCACGCCATGCTTCGTACTTGACCATCACTGGTTTGATTTAGGGGCCATGGCAGCATAATGGTTTTAGAGGGCTTGGCATGCCCCGATACGGATGCTTCGTGTCTCCAAAAATAATATTGGACAAGAAAAGTGCTGATCTAACATCATGCAGCAAGATGGGTGGAATGATATTTTCCTGTGGCACCAAAGGTGAAATTGTTTATTTGGAGACACTCTACTTGTAGTCGAGTGTTTTTTTAAATAAAAAATTATCACATCAAATAGTATATAAGACGTTTACATGTGGACTCAAATCTGAAACCAACCTATCGGTTATCAGTTGTGCATTAGATTAGATGTCTTTACTTTTACGAGTTGCATTGCTTAGATGTCTCTACTTCTACTAGTTGAATTGCAAGTGGAGGAGATAATATACGAATCTGAAATCTAATCGTTTCGTATATTAGATATCCCTACTTCTACCAAAGTAGAGGAGATAATATACAAGACATTTATACGTGGACTCGGCTCTGAAATCTATCAGTTATCAGTAGGCAATTAGATTAGATACCTCAATTTCTACTAGATGAATTGCTCGTGGAGGAGATTACTGGGAATGGTTTCTGGTTGCTTTGGTCAAACCTTTATTTGTGTCAGACTCAAGACTGGCAATTTTCCCACGAAGTACTTAACTTGGGGGTGATGACCGCTCCAATGGTCTCATTTTAGTTTAATCCAACCTTTCCATGTACTGGTTTTGGTTATTTGGAAGGCGGCAAACGGGGATCTTAGAACTGTTAGTCCGGTGGCGGTTGCATGTCTGGCGACCCATCGAAGGAATCCAAGGATACCTACGGAGTCATTCCTTAAAGACTTGCAAGCTATTGTGACTAACATTAAACCCCTACTTGACTTTTTTGTCTGCCAGTCTTATGGCTCATGGAGTTACTAATTTTTGTGGAGCTTAGTGCTCTTCCTGTCCAGTTTTTTATTTTCTTTACATTAAATGGCTTATACGACGCTCACATGTGGACTCAAGCATAAGATCTATCACTTTATACAACAATATATTAACCAAGCATAAGATCTATCACTTTATACAACAATATATTAACCAACTTGAATGTCTCAAAATAGATCTTCCTGCCAAGTTTTTGAATACACAGAAGTTGCATGTTTCTTTCGAAAGGAAAAAAAAAAACAACAGCATAAAGGTTGTGAAAAGGGGATGATGATACAAATATGGCTCAAGTCCTACTGCATCATTCTTGGTAGTTTGGCTAACCAAAATCCCTAAACTATCATCAGGTACTTGTTCTGTTTATTAGAGCTGCAGCTAACGAAATTGCAGTGGCACTCACCAACCTCAATGGTCTTCGCGGAGTTACATCCGAGCCTTCATTTGCGGTGATTCCGCGACATGCAGCATGCTCTGTACAAAAAAAGGATAATGATTTCAGAGTGATTAAAGGTGCAGAGCAAATTACATTTGGTAAACAAGCAGTCCAGTCTGTTTGACCTAAGCAGAGTGATGAAAAGATGAATAGTTTGTTCAACATCAGCAAGTGCTGTCTAAGCAACTGTTTTAATAAACCATGCGGTGGATTCCCTTTCTTCCAACAATGTCAATTCAAAAGATCAACAGGTACTCTATACATTTGCTGCCCATTGAAGGGGAGATGTTTCTTGAGATGCCTCATGAACTCGATTTAGTTTCACGACAAACGCAAAGGGAAAAATGGAAAATCAATTCTTAATGGACAAAAACATGTAAGATATTCGTTTCGTTTGTTGTGTTTTATTGAGCAAAGCTATGTATAGCCGGAAGCCATTATGCATAATATGACATTGTTCTACAAAAATGGTTTTAGGATCATGCAACTTAAGATGGCTTGGCAAAAAGCTTTTGCAGAAGAAAATTTTGACTGATGACAATGGGGAAAATAAGAAACATGTGCAATGCCAAGGCTGGTGCTTGAAGCAATGCCAAGTTCGTGCCCCATTTTCTTTTCCTACTTCAAATAAACTACATGTGAATGCAAATTGTACAAGGACACTAAGTAATCATGGCTACTTCAGGAAGCAGGAACATATGTAAGTTAGCGGGTATTGAGAAGTTTCTTACCAATGGCAGGCCTTTCATGGCTCTTTCTTCCAAGTATGGTGACGGTTTGAAGAAGTTTCCATACAACTCTGTCCATTTGTTGAGCTTTTCATATATGCTACTAGACCCGACACTGTCAGCCCAGTATACGATACCACCCCTTCAGATAAAACCAAATTGTTAGGGCGCACAATCACAGATTAAACACACAAGTCTTCAGCCAGTGTGTGCAAAGGAAAATCTTCAGGCACCATCAAACATTAAGTTAATAGGAACATTAAGTTAACCCTAAAAAATAACAGCTAACAAAGGAATAGTGGGACATGTAAGCTCCGGTAACATCTAGCATTGTTTTTGGTTCTGGTCCTCTGTTTTTCTTTGTGAGGAAACATGAAAACGGTCACAAAAGTGGTTGCCATATGTGCCACCATTGGTAATTAGTAGATGAGAGCATATTTTTCAGCCCTGCCAACATAGGATAAAATTGCAATAGCTCCAGTGGAGCAACACAATCCTACCATGGGATACTGGTTCATGATCATACGGACGGTTATATATAGAAGCATGCTTGGAGAATGTAATCTATATTCAAAGGTACTCACCTGTAGTTGGGAAAACTCATTCCAAGAACAGATGCAACATCAAGATCTGATGCTTGAATCACAACCCCTTCAGCCAGGACCCTGCATGCCTCATTCACTACTGGAAAGAATATCATCTCCAGAACTTCTTGGTCACTGAGAGTAACAGGCTACAGAAAAAAAAAATAGAGAAGATATTTATCTTGTATCATCAATTAAAATATTTAAGTTACACAGTCACATGAAGGAAATGATACACAGGAATATACAGCCACATAAATACCAATACACCAATCTACCGTAAAGAGAAAAGTGAGTCTGTCACTTGGATCTGTTACATTTTCTTCTGAAAATGTCCTTTCTTCCATTGTCACCAATTCCACATCCATCAAATTAAAAAAAATCATATATGGACTGCAGATTTTATCCAATTCTGCCCCCTGCCTCCATCTCAACTTTATTTAATACCATATATTCTTAGGCACACATGAAACACATGACAACATCTTGGACTCTCACCAATTATTTATATTTCCACTTTTTCAGTTAGTTTAATCTTCTTTTCCATCACACACCTCTCTGTGGTGTGCTTTGTTTCTTGTCCATTCTGATCAATTCCTAATAACTGTACTTGGATGTATCAGATTGGACCTGCCATACCATCCGATGCATCTCTTAGTGCAACTAACTGTAGAGAGCTCAGGGCAGTAAAGAACATTAGTAATCAAGGATATCATCTGACTTGGATCCCATTGGAAAACAAATCTGAGCTCATAGCCTTCTAACATAACCATGGTTATGCATTCAATACCGTTAATTTTATTTTAAAATTATTGGTCAGAGAATCAAGCATCTGTGGACCATGTACCAGACCTTTGCATGCGAATGGCTGTTCACAGAGTTCTGCCAGATACCAGTGAGGCCTAGCAACCTAGCCAATTGATCGTACAAGGCCAAAAGATGTCCCGTACATGAGGCTTTCTGTCATCAATTTCTGAAACAGTAGGTGAAAGACCTAATAGCATAAACAAAACAAAAGAATATACTAAAACTGCAAAATAACTATTTTATAAAAACACCAAAATATATGCTCTTTTAATTATCTTCCTACTTAAGTCTATTTAAAACACCATGAATTTTATGTAAATATGGTATACGAGTACATAAAAAAGATTTGCACTAAATGTTGAAATCTGAATCCGATGTGACAAAAACTTAAAATTACATGATTTTCCCCCTAAAATTTTAAAGAGCTGTACGTCAATGTGTGCACTCTCATGGTATACACATATAAAAAGTATTAATACACATACACGCTTTACTATATAGATGAGGCTGGGCAAGTGACTACCTTTCCGCCAGGCATAACATTGGCACGCCTTCTACATTCCTCTATGATAGGTTGCACACTGGAATCAGGCTTTGGGTTCTGTCCCCTTTCATATATATAATACCCCTTGCCATTATTTTTCCCTGTCAATAAAGAGCCCATTGACATACCACAACAAGGAGAATATGAAGAACAATTGGGAGAATACAGGAAAGAAAAACATAAAAAAAACAATAAGATAGACTCGTACCATTTCGTCCATGTTTTACCATCAATCCTACCAGTTCAGACTCCAATGTCCGACCCCTAAAGGAAGAAGCGAAAAAGTCCTTCACTGCCAAAGCCACCTCATATCCACTCACGTCTTGAAGTCTGTTCATTTGACAAATTGAACAGTTCAAGACGGCAAAAAGATGTAACACTGGAATAATAACTGATTATATTATTTTACAAAGGCAAATTGCTATCCTGTATAGGTCTAATTTATGAACATTATGTAACTCTCCAAAATATTTAAGCATGATAGAAACCAGAAGGATTAATATATATTCAATATATATAACATAGATAAGTTATACATAATTATATGCAACATCTTTATATAATACATGTAGGCCTGCTTGCATGCATAAATAGTTAAATACAAACATGCATCTTATACATACATACATACATACACACACACACACACATATATAGTTAAATTTCACTATGCTATTTCGAAAAGGATAATACTTGTGTCTTGGCATGAACTAAATGTATAAAAAAGGAATAGTCTCGTAGAAAAGAAAGTATAGTTCCCTTGCGAGTTGCAACTACTGTTTAAAAATATGGTTTTTTTAACACGTACAGTTTTATTGTTTCTAAAATAGGGTAAAACAGTAAAATTAATGTATTCTTGTTAGTCATTGTTTATGCTCAAGCTAAAGATGAAATAAAAGAATTAGATGCATTAATAACTTACTGAAAAGGGCCCATTGGCATGCCAAAACTGCTGACTACTCTGTCAATTCTAAACAAATCCACACCTAGATTAACCAAGAATTGTGCTGCTTGGGTATAAGGGAAGAATGTACGGTTTACTGCAAAGCCTGTGCAGTTACCCACCACAACAGGAACTTTTTTAATGGTCTTCCCCACGGTCATGAGATCAAGGATCACTTGTGGAGATGTCTTGTCTGTCCGAACGATTTCCAACAGAGGCATCACATGTGCAGGACTGTGCAATACCACAATAAAAACACAATCAGATTTTCCAATGAAAAATAAAATCCAAGAATCACTATGTGTGTTTTATGGAAACGACAGAACATGATCATGAATTTGTGTTGGATGCAGTCTGGCACTCATGAGGAATAAATATAACCATATATATATATGTAAGTACAAATAATACAGCACTTTGTGCAATTTATTTTGCATATGATATCTTTTGACAATAATTTTTGCACTCCAAATGGGGCACTAGAATATGCAAATAGCTTGTACATGTGCAATCATCCAGCCAGCCTTTCATCTTATTGATGTTTTATAACATGCAACTAACCAGTAGACAGATGTAATGATCCAATTCAGGCTGAACACAGACTCCCCAAAGCTTGAAATACAATACGAGCTTTGTCAGTGACACAACTTGAAGCTCAGGCATGAGGATGTGAGGTGGTCCAGATTAATCCTAGACCAACTTCATTAGAATTGGGCAAGGTTGTGACAAACAGGTCAGTTTGCAATCTCCAAAACTGAAAATCGGTTCATGATGAAGTATAAAGGATCTTGCATATCTATGTGGGAACCGATAAGAAAAATTGATGCACAATTTGGGTCTTGGCGTTGCATTATGAACTTCAGTCCACAGCTGTTTTCGACTAAAGGCATCCAGAACCTGTTCCCATTCTTTATCCAGGCCAAAGGATTACGTGGTAATTTCCCAACTTGGCCTAACAGAGCTAGTGAAAATCTCGTAAACCAGCACAACTTGGCATTTAAATAATAGCCACGGACATATATTAAAAATTAATCTACTAAACAATTCCAACATTAAAGTTATATTTCAACACATAACAAGGAAATGTAGAATAGTTAATGCAAGATTACACCTTTGAAAGTTCAATTTTTATCAAAGCCAAAAGAAGATGAGACCCTTTCCAACTTGGCATAGTGAGCTAGTGCAGATCTAGCAAATAGAAACTTGAAAACCTAGTAAAAGACAGATCTGTATAGCACACTTCGATAATACAGGGTAGAATTATTATCCAACACAACGAAAAAATGTAAAATATTTGATGTAAATTACTAAATTATTCTTCAAAAAGATGTTTCTTTTCCACCTTCATGCTTTTACTCAAGGTTTTTGCTTTTCTTTTAATAATGTTGTTTTCAACCTTCCTCTCTTTCATCTACATGCTAAAGCAGGAAAATTGTCACAGACCTGAAAAAATGTGCCCCAATAATTCGATCTTGAGAATGAGTCTTCTCACCAACAATATGGAGATCAATGGTGGATGTGTTGGTTGCAAAAATGCAATGTGGAGGACAAGCTTTTTCAATTTCAGCAAATATTGACTGTTTAAGTGAAACCTTTTCAACAACGGCCTACAAAAAGAGGAAATTTGTTAGAGTAGTCTTAAGAAAAGAAAAAATGATAAAGGCCTTCAAGATGCAGTTAGCAAATTGCAACAATGAAAGAATCCATAATTGCTCACTAGTACTAGATTATATATATAACGTTAGAAGATACTAGCAACAACAATAACCATATCCAAAAGAGTTTGTTTGGCCATGATGGCTGAAAAGCATTGTCTTGAAAGAGAATACTAAAATCTTCAAACTTAGGTGGTATCAAGGTAGCATGGTTTAAAAAATTGGCTGATCTAGGCCCAAAATGGCTCATCCCAGATCAGAATTATGCAATCCCTTGCAATCATAGCGATGTAGGGTGAAGTCAGACAGAATCAACCAATTCATCCACTTCTGGAATAAATTAACCATCCGAAGGTCTTGGAAAAGGAGGAAAGCAGGCATTTTTGAAGCCTGTCCACCTGCTCTCCTCGCTGAGTAGCAGACCAGGCCATGACCTGCAAAGATGAAAGAAAACCAGAGTAAAGAGGTCCAATTCTATCTTTACAGACCACCCTGAAATCATCAAAAGCAAGACTGCAACACCACCAACGAACTTTGCAGCAACGCAAGGACTAATCACCACCCAAACTTCTATCTTCCAGTCTTATGTCATTTTAACCGCTAGATCTTAAAGTTTTTGGGGATTAATTTGACTAATCCATACATAATGTACTTGGATCTAGCATGACATAATCCATATGATTCTGATATAGTAAATTTACACTTTCGACCCTAACTTTTTATACTTGAAACATAATTGAAATTTGATGAATTAAATTATGATCCATGTCAATCTATGTCTGACTGCAATTCAAGCAACTTTCCTACACGTTTTGACAAGGACTAAAATGGTTATCAAACATAAAAATATTGTTTTTTCCAATGATTGAAATTTCATACCGTACCGAAGTTTTGAGCTTCGCTCGGTATGGTACGGTACTGTGTACTGAGCAGTATATCTAATTTAGACGTAAAATCCTCCGAAAATATCTAAAAAAAAAAAAAAAGTTAGGATAGGGTTTTTAAGTTAGAAATAAATATAATAATAGTATAAGTTTAGCAAAACCAATATAAATTAGATAAAAATAGTATCATATATCTTTTTTGGATTTTGAGAAATAGTCTTGTGCAAGGTTTGTATTTCGGTCCGTTATGGATTGCTCTTCTGTAAATATTGAAATATCTACAAAAAAATTATTTGAATTGTCAATTCACAAATCGTTGTTTTATAAAATTTATGAGAGTGTAAATATGAGAAAAAAATAAGTTTGAGGTAGTTTAAGAGAGTGTGAGAGTGAAATAGAGGAGAAGATGAGTTTAAAAACCCATGAGAAAGGGCTCCAATGGTTATTTTGATCGTTGGAGCACTGTTATAAATCGGTAACGGTCAAAATCGATCGTTATCGAGTTGTGTCGAACGGTAACGATCAAAATTTCGACCATTACCGTCCGATATACCCTTGTATCGTCCGATATGGGGCAATATTGAGCATTCCGCTCGGTAGCGGGCAGTCCGCATACTGGTATGCTGTTGGATAGGTACGTACCACCCGTACCGGGCGGTATTATTCGAAATTAAAAACCCTGATTTTTTCAGTATGATTTTTTTTCAAACGTAGTGAATAAACCTCTAGATGGATGATCCAAATGAGTAATGATTGGTTAAGCAGTAGTAATTTCTTCTTTGATGTAGCTATCAAAAGAGAATGATGTCATTTAATTGTTAGGAAATACAAAAGACGCAATCATGAGGAAGAAAGCAGTGCAGGAAAACATTATGGAAATGAGATAACAAAGTGAGGAGAAATTTGAAAGGATGCCGGGGAAATATTGAGGATTTAAGTGACCATTTTTTTATATTGCTAGTGGGGATAAGGATTAGCAAGCACTAGATACTTATTGAGGACACCAAGCACTAGACAGAAGAGTCACCTTCAAGTTTCAACAGATGCTTAGCATTATTGCATGTAAATGAGTAGGTGGAAAGAATCTATAGGTTGAAACTTGAGCAGAAGAACTCTGGTGTGTACTTATATTTGTTAAATTTTGCATTTCTATCTATTGGGCAAAAGCTGACACCATGATCTAAACCGGTGATGACAGATCTTGAATAGAAGTTCCAAAAACATCCCACAAACTGAGCTTGACTTTCTTTTCCAAATTTTGTTATGTAGTTGCACTAAATCTAGCCAAAAACAGGCAAACTTTATTAAATCTATGGCCAAATTCCATCCAATTATATGATACCTTCCAGGTAATCATTTACTGATTTCAAATGGTAAAGCCATAAAGGACATATTCTTCTCACCATAGTATATCATAAGCTTCAAATTTTCAAAATAAAATTTCAACTTGATTACAATATTCTAGCCCAAAAACAAATTTTGGAGTTGGAAGAGTAACCTCGATAACCATATCGACATTCTTGAACTCTGAGTAATCCAAAACACCTGTTAGAAGTGGCAGTGCCTTGTTCATCTTTTCAATAGTAAACGACCCTTTCTTCACAAGGCTTTGAAGGTTAGCTGCCACAATTAACGTAAGCACAATTTCCTTAGAATCATGAAATTAACGTATACATCATATAATAAAATATGATGAATAAATGATCCTCAAGTAAAATTATATCTGCAGCAATTATGCGATATTAATGGTTTTCCCAGCATCTGAAGGGAAAAAGAAACAAGAAAAAGAAATCTGGACTTGAAGTGAGGTTAATCACTATGAACTTACCTTCTATCATTTTCAGTCCTTTCTGCAGTAAATTTGAATCAATTTCCTTGAGGATAACAGGTGTATTGTTTAAGATCAAGGAAGTAGCTATTCCAGAACCCATTAAGCCTCCACCAATTATGGCGACTCTTTTTATTTTCCTTGGTCTGATCCCAACATCAGTAACATTAGGTACCTGCCAAAGACAGTTAAATGATAGAAAATTAATCATATCTAGAAAATTAAGGTTTAAGTTTGAAACACATCCAGATTCTTTGCTTATGGAAAATCCGAGTCATGTAAGAAAATGAAACAAAATTATCTGCATTCTGAAGTTTCTTAACCTAATCATATTAGTATAATATAATATCACTTCTGATACACCACAGATTTACGTCCATATTGTAAACTAAAAGAAAGGATCCAAGGCTTGGATGCAAACACCTGAAACATATCCCTAACCCTTGCAGCCAAAGATTTGGCTTATTAACATTCATAGACTTCATTTAAGTTGCTGAACTGCGCATGTATAGGAAAAAGCTGATATTTCACCAGAAAGTCAAAGAATCTGACACTTGGAGACACCATGAAATTGAGGATCGGGCTTAATAACAATAATAGAATTCATTTTAAGTTGCTGCAGTTTGGTACCTATACAAAGTGGATGTTTTCACAAGAAAATTAATGAACTAGAGTCTAGACCCTTGGAGGCACACAGGAATATCCAATATCTGTCCCTGGTCCATGCAAATAAAGATTATGCATAAAAGAAATTCATAGAACTCAAATGAGTTACTAACTCAAGTAAAGTCTACTTGCAGTAAGTAAAAATTCAGTATCAAAAAGTAGAGGGAAACTAAGAATTTTTCTTTAAAAATAATATCTTACGTGGTTTCATGAATATGTCTTCTCATTTAGAGTAGACTATCCAAATCACAGAAAAATAAGATGCAAAATGACATCAATGATTCTTGCTGCACATTGCTCACACTATGTCAAAAATTCAGAATTGCTTATCCATTGAGTAACTATTCTGCAACACCCCGCTCCTCTCTCTTTCTCATTTTATTCGAGTGTGTCAAAAAGACATCCTATGTGACACTACTGAATTTTCTAACAAGAAGATAAATCCGATTAGATATTGATTCATCTAGACACTAAAATTTGGACTTCAAAAGGCAGCAGAGAGTGCAAGGAAGCATAAGGACAAAAGAGATATATCTAAAAACTTCAAAAGTATCACAAAGGCTAGCTGGAAGACAAGTAAAAAAATATTGTAGGCAAAGCAATAAAAACCAGGCCAATTTCCAGGAATCAGAAGGTCTGTTTGTTAGTACAAACTTTGGAGTACAACAAGAAACTGGCTCTTGGAGGATTTAAAGATGATAGTGCTAAGATTCCAGTCAAGTGGATATGCATTTTGGTGAAAACTGATGACTCCACAAAATCTTCTGTATGTTAAGATAACTACATAAATATCAGATAAATGGTATACAAACACGAATTTGGTCATCAAAGCTATGGTTTGAGGCTCCAAGTATGCCCACCCTACTTTTGATGAAATATAAATTTTTCAATAAGAAAGCTTTAGCCATGTCACAGTTCATCTTTCTTCTCAAAACACCATGCTCCATTCTAAGTCCTAAGAAGTCCTCAGGGTCTTTAAGGGACTTGCTCAAGCCAAAGTCCTGCAGTTCAAATTCTAAGAAGGCATTTAGAAACATTCTCGAGAAAGATATATATTCAATAGTACAAAACAAACATTGTTTATCTGATCTGACAAAAGATGGTGGCTCTATAACTAGCTAAATACCATGGTGTTAAACTTCTACTCGGTTCTATCTGCATCTTCGATGAAAAATTAATGACCTCAGAATGAAGGCTAAGGCTTTTTCAGAAAGCATGATAGAAGGCGGCTTCAACCTTCTTAGGAAGAGCCACAAAAGGCATGCTAGATATGGAAAAGCAATAGTGAGACGACACAAAATCAGTTGTTTTGGAAAGTAAAACCCCATCAAAAGGCAGGTATATGTCTTTGCTTCGGCTCATGCCACCTCATTCCGTGTGCAAATTTTGTTTAACAGCAACAAAAGCATCAGCAGTTCCATATTCAGTTCACATTTGTCTTTGGAATATCAAATCTTTAATGAAAAAGGAAGGTGAGAAACATATTTCATCTACAAATAGACGATATACCAACAATTCAGAAGAAGTAATATTAAACAAGGGACAACAAAATTCAAAACGTGAAGTATAATTACCTTTGATGTTGCACGTTGAGCAAAAAAGACATGAATAAGCCCCTTTGTAGTACTTGAGCAAATTAATTCCTTAGAAACCTTTGCTTCCTGAAATTAGGACATCAACTTTAGAGCACAATGCTACAAGCAGAAATTGAGCACCTAAAACAAATTGGCAAAGAATGATATCAATGGTTGACAATCCTATGGAAGTTTGTAAAAGCATTTTTCCTTTTAAAATAAGGAAAATTGAGTTTTAGTGACATCATAACTTTCTGGAGTTTTTCATGTTAGTACAAAGTCTCTTTAACTAAATTAACTGATAGTCAATATAAAACCTTGGCCTGAATATTAACTTACTCTGAGAATGCCAGAATTTCATCAACTATGAAAATATAACATGCCTCTGACTTGAGATCATTATTACTACGGAATAAGCAGGACAAAATCTATGCCCATCAACTGCATAATATGGTTACAATTTCTTCTTCCACATTAAATTGCACGTTGGAAGTCAAAAATTTCGAGAGAATTTATCTTTTACTTGTTTCTTTATACAAACATAATATTTTTCAAATAATATGATACTGTTGTAAAATATTCCACAAGTAAACCATGGACAACTTGTTCATAACATGTGGAAGTGAGCATTCCCTAGCAAGTAAAGGACCAACTAGGGCATTTTGGCTTTTATGATCAAAATTTTAGTGTATCAAAAAAACAAAGGATGGGAACCCTATCCATGGTCCACCCAGGGATGAAGGGAAGGACTCTTGGAGGATCATGTATCCAATATGATCATATCACTGAAAATAATTCTGAATTTTTGGGAGTACCTTTTGGACCAAACAATTTATATGCCCTATAAGTTAAGAAGCAAGGCAAATGTACTTTTGAAGAAAACAATAACAAAATTATAAAAAATGATTCTGCACCATTCTTAAGTTTCTGTACTTAAATCCATGGGATAAGTATTACAAACAGGCCCTTAATCAACTTAGTGAGATTTAGTGATGGCATAATATAGCAGAAAAGCAAGTGCTGGTACAGGCTTCTTGCATGGGACTCTATGTAATTCTTGACAACTTCAATACGTTCTTTCATCAAAAACTAGAAAGAAATACATACCTTCAGAAGACCAGCATATCCTCCAAAATTTATACCTTCCTCAATTGCATCAAGGCATGCCTTGTGCTGTGGCACATTAGGTGCTATCCTCTTAGCCTGTTGCCTACCAGCCGTCAGTGTTTCAAAAGCTTCAGAAAGAGAACCAAGTCTATCAGTCCGATGAAGTGAAATGATCCATGGTTTACGCTGCTCTGCAATTTCCAGAGCCCACAATCGTGATGTTTTCAGCAAATCCTCAGGTGAAGCAATAGCATCAACAAGACCGTATTCTTTCCCTTCCTTGGCAATAATTGATTTTGATAGCTGCATTGAAGTGTCAAAAAAGTAAAAAAAACTGTCAATTATGAATGCTAGCTTAATATTTAGTAATTGTCACTTAATTAACTATAATCTAGACCAACATAAAAGGTATTACATTCAAAAGATCAAATATAATGTCATAATGAACAAAATAATGTTTGTTACAACAAAGCAACAAACACGTACAAATACAGACCAAATATAGTTAACCCACATGGTTTTGTTTGTGAAGGGGGTTCAAGAGAACATAAAAGTGGCTGACATGATGACAAAGTGGACTCTAAACTCTAAATCAAGGATTGCAATACCACTCAGCACAGTTTAGGACATACCATATTAAACTTGTCAGCATGCTTTAAAAGACATGATTTTAATGCATAAAAACCAATATTAACACTGTAAGTATTCCTAGTGGCATTCTTTTGGACATATAAGGAAGGGATATTATAAACAAAACAAAATCAAGATTAACTTGCAACATAGATTAGTCAGGCTGCACTGATATTGGAAAGAATAAACTAACCAGCAACATTTCTATAGCTTTTGGCAATCCCACGAGCCTTGGAAGACGTTGTGTGCCTTTCAGATAATAAGGTCCCAGTGAGACAAGACAATTAGAATATACAAAGAACCTCTAGAAAATATGAATAGTTTAGAATATTCTTAGAATCACATGAGTTGGTCATCACCTCCCATTCCAGGAACCACACCAAGAGCCAATTCTGGCAATGCAAGCTGAGCTTCGGGAGTAGAAACTCGTGCATGACAACCCTGAATAATTTTAGAAGTGCTTGATGGAGGTTCTGTGAAGATGTAATTATAAAGAAAGACAGCTGAAGTGCAACAGGTATAAAGAGCACGAACCATCGCTAGCTCCAGACCACCACCTAGTGCAAGCCCTTGGATGGCTGCAACAGAAGGCTTTGGAGCATCTGCATAACCAATAAAGTTTGCAAATTTAAGCCCTTGAAAGAAAGAATACATATCAAATGCAGGAAAATGTCCAATCGGACTGCCAAGTACTCTTTTTTCCGGCAAGAGTATACGTAATATTTAAAACAGATAAGTTGTTGTAACTCATAGTGGCGACAAACCTTCAATAACATTGACCACAAGTTCAACAGATGTATCTGGTAGCAGTGACAGATCTCCTGCAAGTAACAGTTGCACTAATTAAAAAATTGCAAATCTTATATGATAGACTATCAAACAAGCAAATTTAACAATTTTGCATCCTTTGAGGACCATGCCTGTTTTCTGAACAGCAGCAAAAATATTGATGTCCAAACCACCACAAAACTTGCCGCCCTCCCCTGTCAGAAAAGAAATTGGGGATGGCATCAGATCCACATATAAGAGAAATATAATTTAAATGCACCAATATATGGCATCTTTTAAGAACTAAATAATGCATGTAAATGCACCAATATGGCACCATGGAATGTCAAAAGTCATACACATCAGATAATTCCAACTTAAACCTTGCTGCTTGGCAATCAATAAAATTTATCGCTACAATGATAATGGCATTTCTTACGTCTGAAACCCATCAAGTTCTTATTTCTCTTCCTTTCAAAACCTATGAAACAACCACTCGACCATTCAAATAACAAACCATTCCTTCCACTTGTGATGACCACTCATGAATTTTCTTTACTAATTTTGCAGTCGACTAACAGAAACAATTCCTGATGTGAAAACATACAATAAGCATTATACAGTGTTCCAATTTCAGAGTTCTTAAAACACATCCCAGCTTGCATTTTCTAGCAACCACTTAGAAATTAATCGGAAATCCTATGTGAGATCCAGAACAATGTAAATTTTCCAAAAGCTAAAGATGCTCATTAGCCATTAAAATCAGCATCACCATGCAAATCAGTCCCCGTGACCAAGCACAGATGAGTAAAACCACCACTGAATACTGAGATCAGAAGCCATTACAAGGTGAAGCCTGGAACAGAAAGCATATTAGTCCATTCATGAAACATCCGGTCTCAGAAATTTGCCAACAGTTACCCAGACCTTCTCAAGATCTGGATACCAATAATCTAGAATAAGGAGTATAATACGTTTATCGAGGGGCAATTCACCTCGCCAATCTCGAAGTTGGTAGGTCATCCAGATAATAAGTTTCAGAAGCCAACAAGATAGTCAATTTATGTAATTCTCTTGGTAACTGGTAAAAACCAATCATAATCCTTTCAAAAAACATATATGATGAATTATCAAATATATTAAGTCTGCATTTGCCACGTAAAATAACATCAGAAAACAAGGCACAAACGTAGCATCAGAAGCTCACCGGTTAAGACAATTGCTTTGACGTCACTCCTACTCATTGCCTCCGCATACTTCTCCTTCAATCCAGCAACGACTACAAGAATCTAACCAATATTATTGGCAATCCTCCAATCACCAAACGTAACTAATAAGCCCTCAAATGGAGATCAAAATGGACCATAAGATCCCAAATATTTGGAAAAACAACTAAATCAACAATGAAGGTCCACGAAACGACGAGAAACATGAAAATGATGGGGATTTACTCGGAAGAGCCAAAGCATTAACCGGAGGGTTGCGGATGGTGATGACCGCCACCGCGTCGCTCCCAACGTCCATCGTCACTCGAACGGCCGCCATCAGATCGAGCCCGAGGGATCGAGAACGTGCGTCTCTTCGACTTCACCCGTGGGATTTCCGCCGATCGAAATCGATCTCGAGAGGAGGAAGGAAGAAGGCGATCGACGAGACGACTCGAACGCCAAAGAGCGCGCGCTTGTGGACGCCCACCGCCGACACCGTATGCAGGAGCATCGGGATGAAGTAATTATTACCCCGACGAAATTAACTAAAATAATTACACGCTACGTGGCAATCATTCATGGGATAAATATATGACACGTAGTTTGCTCGAGTTAGTACACCGAGGGGGAGTGAACGGGAGTGTGGTTCCACCGTAACGCAGTAATAAGTGGCGGGCCACAGCCAGAATGGGGAGAGTGAATCGGATCTCGATCGATCATGGCCGTAGGATGTGATTTTACGTAGGATTCGACGGCATGGATGGCTACAAAGCCGTGGGCCCGTCTCCGGGATCGGCTCGGCGTTCAGGATCGGAAACTAACTTAATTCTACGAGTGTCGTGTCTTCGAATCAAAAATAGGCAGATGATGCACATTCGTAAACAAAGATGGAATGAACGAATCACGAAGGCACTTTTGGAAAGGTGGCCTCTGATGCATGAATCCTCTCTCGTAGGAAAGTTGGTCTGTCCAAAATTATTCATTTCACTTTTTTTCTTTCTTCTCCATCATTTCACTTATTGTTTCTGACATTAAGTATCGGAAGTGTTATTATCGAATACGTCCGTCGATGTAAGTTTTGCAGCAGTCCGAGCCAAATCTAACCATTTCCCTTCGTTGAGGCTTGCGAAGATATGGAAAGGTGAAGGGATACGTACACTGTGACTCTTAACGGGTTCGGATCGGATTTGCAACACGCTCGATTTCTGGCCTTCCGATGCGAGATCTCACGGTTCTCTTACCCATCTCACTACATCACCGTCGATGCTATATCAATCATAAAACATCCAAAATCAACGGTCTTGATAAGCCTGCTCGATCCTATTCGAAACGATAACACGGGCGTCTGTTCTCCACCGGCCCTGCGAAACTGAAACAAAGCGCAACCCTAATCGATCGATCGGATCGGGGGAATGGCGAGCTCGTACGACTACGACGACGGCTCCCTCGAGTCCCGGTACGGGCGCCCGCCGTCGGCCGGCCATGGAGGCGCCTCCACGGATCTGAGCTACGACCCCAACTTCGTGCCGGACTCGGTGAAGACCTTCGTCGTCCACCTCTACCGCCACATCCGGGAGAAGAACGTGTACGAGATTCACCAGATGTACGAGGGCAGCTTCCAGCGCCTCAGCGACCGTATGTTCCGAGACAACCCCTGGCCCTCCGTCGAGGCCATCGCCCCCTACGTCGACAACGACCATGTCTTCTGTCTCCTATACCGCGAGATGTGGTTCCGCCACGTCTACGCTCGGCTCTCTCCCACGGGTCGGCAGCGGGTGGAGTCGTGGGATAACTACTGTAGCCTCTTCGGAGTCGTGCTCCACGGGGTCGTCAACATGCAGCTTCCCAACCAGTGGCTGTGGGATATGGTGGATGAGTTCGTCTACCAGTTCCAGTCATTCTGCCAGTATCGGGCCAAGCTCAAGAGCAAGACAGAGGAGGAGCTGCAACTGCTTCAGCAGTACGATCAGGTAATTTTGCGGGGAAACTTTTTTTTCTTTTTTATTTGTTGATGCGTTGTTTACATTTTACCGTTTGTTATCACACGACACAGTTTCGAACTTGATGTTGTGCAATAGTAAGTTCCGTGTGTTTCTTATGGTGATGTGGAGCGTAATTGATACTGGGAAAGCAGATTTCTTTCTTTCTTTCGGTAATGGTATATCTTCAATTAAAAACCCTTTCAATCTAGTTTATGATTAGATAAGACTTGTAGGAAAAAAACAATCGCATTGGATATGGGTCTGATATTAGTATTAAGAAACTACAAGCAACAATGATGTAACAAATATATGGACCCAGCACAAGTATAAAGAAATTAGGATATTAGTTATTGATTCATCTCCTTGCTTATTTATTTGTTCTGATGTCATTTAGGTTCTCCTTTTTACGGAGTTAATGTTCTGTAGTTCCCAGTGATCTTAGTCATAACTAGCTGTAGACCTGTAGTGCACCCTGTAACAAACATTTGCAATCTGCATGGTCTTGTGCGTGTTAAGAATAATGTCCATGAATGGTGTGTCTGTGCTTTTCTCCGATATGCACTTCTGTGGTTCTATTTGACACATTTGTTGGTGCATTATCCACTTTCTTTTGGTTTTGATTCTTTTCAGTGTCTAATGCCTTAGTCATCACTTGCTGTAGTGCTCCCCGTGACAGACGTTTGCAATCTGCCAGGTCTTGTGCATGTTGCATCTTTGCTTGTTTGATATGCATTGCCATGGTTCTGTTTTGTATATTTTTTTGTACAATCTTCTTTTCTGATGCCTCACTTCTAAACTCTAGTCCGTTGTAATACTTGTTGTTGATAGGCATGGAATGTGTATGGGGTGCTTAATTACTTGCAAGCTCTGGTGGAGAAATCAGCTATCATTGAAATCTTGGAAAGGGAGAAAGAAGGCCTAGAACAATTCACTGCTACTGATGGTTATGATTATGAAGGTGGAACCAGCAATGTCCTAAAAATGTTAGGTTATTACAGCATGATTGGGCTGCTGAGGGTCCATTGCCTTTTGGGAGATTATCATACCGGGTTAAAGTGTTTGGCTCCGATCGACATTAGTCAACAAGGTGTTTACAATGTTGTGATTGGGAGTCACATATCCACCATATATCACTACGGGTTTGCAAACTTAATGCTACGGAGGTGAGGAGTTCTTTAACCTTTCATTGTTGCATCATTCTGAGAAAACAAACTTTAGTCTTGTTGATATTCATTTTCTCTTTCTTTTTGGCTTTTTTCCTATGCCTTTTCCACACACCAGATTATAGTATTGTTTTGGTTGTTTTAGCCAATTATTTAATTTTCTTAAGCCATTAGTGTGGTCAGCAGCTATGAAGCTGTTTTTAATATTCATATATGTATATGTTATATGTGACATGAACATTACCTTGTTGGTATCGTAATCCGGAATATTTTTTGAAAAATGAGAAATTTTTTACAAAATCAAGGATTAGTACATTCTTCTATATTTTAAGAGTTATTTCAGTTTCTTGGTTGATGGATTCTCAGATTGATAAAATATATCAGTATGAACCCCAAGTACCTCGATCAAAGGCCCATTAGCTGCTCATCTCAGATCAAAGGCCCTACTGTTTGGTCACATTTAAGTATGACTGCACCATCTCGATCCTCTTTCCTTTACTGTTGGACCTCAACAAATACCATGGATTATAAAAAACTAATGATGTTTTAATTTTCTTGCAAGGACCATATTATGGTTAGAATTCTACAAGGATTTATATTTCACATTCCTGATTCAGTTTCAAGAAAATTAATTTCAGAGTATGTAGGATCACTTTAACTGTCTTATCTAAATGTTAAGCGCATTGAGTACAGGTGTTTCACTGGTTTGTTTGAGGTTAAAGCTGCTTTGGTCTTTTGAGCCATGAAACATAGTTCCATATAATTGTTAAAGTTAGGGACTTACTGTGCAGATAGACTCTCATTTTTTGTTCTGTGAGGTCAGTTTGTCAAATACCATATTTTTTTCCTAGTGTTTGCAAATATTAGAAAAAATTCCTACATCATCATTGCATCATCAACACTCTGAAATATAATTGCTGTATGGAAGTGGCTAGTTCATCGATATAGATAATGCCTGCTGGCATTTTTGAAGGAAGAAGGATCATTGTGCATTTCATTTAAATGATTCTTGAGCTGAAGAACACTACTCGATATAAGCTTGTTCTGAGCATAGCAGCTCTGGCTTAATGTGTTGCTCTATGAATTCCAGGCATGTTTTTGGTTTGAACTAATAGGACTGGGGACACCAAACTGCATGTTTGGCTTGTTTGTAAAATATATGCTTATTTGTTGTTTGTTATGTCCTTCTCATATTTTTAAGAATTTTAGTGCCAACTGGCTAAGTGTTAATGTTCCCACATTGCAAAGCATTATTCTCTTTGATCGGTTTTTGGATGAATGTTGTTGATTTTCTTTACTTTCTTGTTGACCTTGTTATCTTATCTAGAGGCTAGAATGCTCTTATTTTAACTAGAGATATTGTATCATAGAGCTTAATGAAGGGAAAAGATCCATGTAGCTGATCTCAAAATAGTTGGACATTATGGCTTATTGATGTTATTGTTGTTGTTGTTGTTGTTGTTGTTGTCTTACCTTGTGTCTTCCATACCTGCTTGTTTTTTGGTATCAGCATGATGGTCTACCAATACAACCCAGTAGATTGCTCACCTTTTACCGTCTTGTTGATAGGTATGCTGAAGCAATTCGTGAGTTCAATAAGATCCTACTGTATATTCTTAAATTCAAGCAGTATCATCAGAAATCGCCACAATATGATCAGATACTGAAGAAAAATGAACAGATGTATGCCTTATTGGCTATTTGCCTTTCTTTGTGCCCGCAAATCAATCTTGTTGAAGAGAATGTGAATTCACAGTTGAGGGATAAGTACAATGAGAAGATGACAAAGATGCTGAGGTATGATGATGAAGCATATGCTGTGTATGATGAACTTTTCACATATGCCTGCCCCAAATTCATTACTCCATCGGCTCCAGTTTTGGAGGAACCTCTTACGAATTACAACCAGGTAAATTCTTTCATTTCGCTTCCTATGTTGGTTGGCGGTCTTGTTTTGTCGTTTCATTTGTAGAAATGCTGCAACTATTGATATGTCAGGTGGACATCACCTTTACTATTCATGGTAAGTCTTACTTGGTTGTCAAGTAATCCATCCAAGTTGGCCTTCTGATTTTAAAAATATAGTAAGTCTATTTTAACCATTTTTTTCATATAAATGCAACTTTAAATTCCAAAATTGTGCTATATTTTTTTATTTTTGATTCCATTCTTGTTTCTGTGGTATACTGCATCAGTTACCAGCATGTGTATGCTTATCTAGAATTAGCTCAACATAACAATCTATTATTGAGTATTCTATTGAACATCATAATTAATTTTCTGAACCCTGAAATCAGGATGCTTACAGACTTCAGTTGAAGTTGTTTCTTTATGAAGTGAAGCAACAGCAGTTGCTGTCTGGTGTCCGCAGTTTCTTGAAGTTGTACTCCACCATATCGATTGGGAAACTTGCTGCATATATGGAGGTGGATGAACCCACTTTGAGGTCCGTACATTGATGTTTGTGTTGCAAACTGGTAAATTTTATTCAAAGAAAAGCTATTATACCTATAGACTCAGTTATGCATATGCTTATCATTGCTGCAAGCTCTGGAATGGTTCTGATTCAAGCATTTTATAGCCAATCTGAGTTAATTGACTTTCATCCGTAGTAATTTCGTGACTTGGCAATAATTTTTTTGACAGAACCATCTTGATGACATACAAACACAAGATGCATGCAGTTGATAGTGATGGGAAGATCATTCCTAATGCAGATTTGGACTACTATATTAGTGAGGTAAGTTGTGGATTGGAAGACCTAACCTTTCCTGTTAATAGTTGGTATCGTCTTCATGTTTTGCTTGAATGAAGATTGGAAGCTTTTTATTAGAACTGTGGTTCTGGAGTTTCAATGCCACAGAGAGCAGGATATGTGGATTCTTAAATTGAAAGAGGAAATGCAGGATATATACTATTAAAGCAAAGATAAAACTTGAGGTCTTGTAGTTGTGTGGTCCATTCTCGTCTTCCATTCTTCTCTTATTGAATACCAATAATACTTGCTTGAGTGTAGTTTGACAAGCCATTTTTCTCAAACATTTCTCAGAATTAGTAAATTGAATACAGGACATCGTTCATGTCGTGGAGTCCAAACCAATAAAGCGCTATAGTGATTACTTTTTGCGCCAAGTCTTAAAGGTTTGTTATCCACTGGTGCTGTTGTTGCTGCCTACCTTGTTTATATTTTTGCTGCAGTAACATTTTTAATTTTAATAGGACTTACACTCTAATTATGTCTGGTTTTCTTTGATAATATCTTGCAGTTTGAGGAGATGATCAGTGAACTGGACAGAATAAAACTGGACTAGTTCTACTATGCATACGGTGCTTTTTCCCATCCCTCAACAAGTTCACTATATGTCCTCTTTTTCGCTGCAATGTGATGTTTTGGTTTAAAAAATTCAGTGCCATTTTTATTGCCTTTTGCATTCTTAAAGCTGCTGAGCCCCATACTCCTTAAATTGGTTGATTCATGGGGCTTAGTGATTTCATGTGAACTTCATTATTTCTAGATGTTTTGTTGAAAGTAGAATCACATCAAGCAAAATGCTGATTACGTCTCATGAATCAGTGTATGCTATGGGTGAGTTTTAGGTCACAAAACTGTTCATTTGTCAGAGATAAATTCATTGTATTGTGGTGTTAATCAAGCAATGAAGTACGCCATATGCCACCGATGCCCATGGAATCGCTCAATTAAATGTCCATTGAAACAGTTCGGGGGCAACTTCATCCTTCCAGCTTGTAGTTCATTCATGTGTAGAATTTGATCTTGTGACTATTTGTTGGTGCAAGATGATATAGTTGTTTGCTTGGTGTTAGCTATTGATGTATCTATTGTTTACTCATTGTTTATGCTTGGTTGCAATGACCATCACAGTTCAATTTCACTAATGCTGGATTTACTATTTCACATTATCACATGATGTATTGAGAGCATATGTGATTAGTACTCGTGGACTTTGATGAATACTAGCAGTCCACTTGCTTATAAGACTCCAACAACTCTCTTGGCTTTGTATTATCATATAATTTTGGATGTTAACAACTAACAGACAGTTTTCTTTTTGTTCTTATAATCCATCGATACATATGATCTCTGTACAAGAAAATATATCACATTTATTAAATTTGAATTTTCAGTAAAAAAAAAAATACTGCCTATCGGTGATTTTAATTGGGCTTAATTGAGATTAAAAGCAAATTTTATATTGTTTTAAGTTTGACGAGGATGTTTATGCAAAACCATATTTCAAGAAATGAAAACAGAAAAATGGTTTCTGATGGACTTATATGCAATTTTTCTGAAATGATAAGGAATATGCATTAGACTTAAGTTTAAAGGTAGAAAACAAGAATAAGTGAACTTTGAAGTACTTAAATGCAAATGTTTTCATAAAGACTTCTGCGAGGCCCATTCGCGTAACCTTTTATCGTTTTTGGCTCTTCCCTTCCTCTTTCCGTCGATTCAATAAGAGAAACCCCGGGCCTCCCCATTTCCATTCCCCGCCGTCGTCTTCGTTCCGTGCCTTCTCGATGTTGAAGCTATGGAGGTGGTACCAGAAGTGCCTCGCCGTTCACCCGGTGAAGACGCAGATTGTCAGCTCTGGCTTCCTGTGGGGTTTGGGAGACATTGGAGCCCAGGCGGTCACCCAGAGAACCCTGAGGCACCAATCGCAGGACAGGAAGGTTATTAGATTTCCCCAATCTTTTTTCTTTTCACCCTTTTCTGTCGATCGTTTCGTGGAAGTCGTATTTTCTTTTGGATTTGTTATATGTGGATTTAGTTCTGAGTTTGGTTTTCTCCCCTCGCTTTTCGTTGATCGTTATTGATTAGGATGCTTCGATAATGTAACGTCTGTAGTTTTTGAGGGAAATCGAGTGATTTTTATGCGAATAGATAAGGTTCTGATTCACCATCATATTTCGATTTGATCAAATTTGTTTATTGCTGAAAGGCCACCGACCGGGCGGTCGAGTCGGTGAACCCCTGATGCTAGCTGACTGTGATTGGAAGATGAACTGACGATCATTGAAGATGGATTGATTGAATAATTTGGTTTCTGAAAGCTCCACACTTCTTCTGCTCCATCATAGATCGGCTTGTTTGAGTTGGATGGGAATACTAAATTTCATTTACATTGTTGTTTTAGTGACTTCTTTACCTTTTGGATGTTGTTCAAAATTTCGACGTGATTTAGAATCATTTTTGTGTTGGATGAGCTGGTTTTTATGTCTTCTTAAAAGAGATAAAAGAGAAACAATTCATTCGTCCTTATAGAGTGATTATACAACACCTGAAACATCCTCTTCCCAGGATGGCTTATCCAGACTCTCTAGTTCTTAACGCTAAGCTCAACAGGTGTGTATGTGTGTCCAAAATTACATTTTACAGATTATTTTTTTTATTTTTGCAAGTAAACAGTGAGCAAAAGTAGATTCAAATGGTGTGGCCAATGGCTATTTCCATAAAGTACAGACGGATAGAAGGCCATGGAGTCCAACCCAGCTAATCAATTAGTGATCTCCTTTTCAGAAGCCTGCATCAAGCCATCCCAAAGTAGAAAACGATGTTTGGATTACATATTCCCTTATGGTGTTCTGGGTTGCACTTGATAAAAGATAAATCTATTGATGATATTTATCAGGGCTTCAAGATTTCCCAAGGGTTAAGAAACATGGAAGGTGAAAATTTTGTAGTAGGGTCCTTCATCTGAAGAGGTTCTAAGTATGAATATGTGTGGAGGTTGGTATCTGGCTTGGCTAATTTTTGTGTGCAGCTACACTAGGTGTGGTTGTTGTCCTGATAAAAAAAGGATTATCTGTTTTGCTTAACAAACAATAGAATACAGACATTACACAGCTTGGATCTCTCTCTCTCTCTTTTTTTTGTGCATGAAAATGATATCAGTAGAACAAAAATGCATGCAAGAATGGGTTAACATGGTCTCCCTCCTCCCTCTACTGTAACAGTAGCTTATTCTATTCCCTATTACATATGAGCCATCTTGTTTCCTGAACTTTCTCATCCAAATGCTTCTGTAGTTATTGCTTTTGTCTTGTGATTCTAAGAATTGTAATCCAGATGGTTCCACTTGATCTAATTCTTCAAGACGTTTCTATAGTTATATATATATATATATATATATAATTTCCATCATATGCTTCCGTGTTTCTAGGCTGTATAAAAGGTTATGCCCTATAACATTTTCTGCTTCCCAGAGTTGATGGCTGATATTGGTTGTTAAGTCATATGTCGAATGTTGGTCACCGTAGTCACATCATGTGGACGTAGTTTGGGGTGGAAGTGTGGTTAGTTAATTATCAAAATTTGTTTGATAGTTTGAGCACATCTGGTATATCTTGCAGGAAGAAAATAAGGAGATCAATATAGACTGGAGAAGGGTGGCTACCACGAGCATGTTTGGATTTGCATTTGTTGGACCTGTTGGCCATTACTGGTAAGGTCTTTTCACAACTATGAAATCACGAGGTTTGCTTTTGCATGCTAAATGCTTCAGTTTATTCATTTCCGATCTATCTGGCACAGTCCTAATACATTTTTTTTTGAATTCCAAGAGAAATATATCCTATTTGCAATTAAATGACACAAAGTTTAGCTGCCCAGGTGAGGTGTTTCTCTAAGCTGAAATTATATTCCCAAGCTTACTCGATGCTTTTCCCTCCCTTTTAGTGCATTTAAGTAGTTATTTGGCTGAGCACATATTTTTTATTTAAATGGACAAAATGTTGGTGGATTGGTGGGTAATAAGTAGACAAAATGTGGAGGGTGCATTTCAAGTTGCCCAAGATGGATTCTAGATGTGCAGGAAATTTCAACATAAGCTAGATACTGTTTGTTAAAAGATAATATTTTCTCAACTTTAGTACATAAATAGTAACTATTCCCCTTAGTAAGTAAAACATTTAGGTCACACATAATTTTCCTGTATCTTGGTCCCTATCTTGTGTAGAAAAGTTGGTTAAGCTTCAAGAAAAAGTAATGTCTTTGAGAAATTTATTGATTATGAGATGGAAGATAATTATGTCACAGACAAAAATGTTTATACACCTTTGTAGTTTAAACATAGTTTTCAACTGATGGTATGCCCCCCTCAAATACGCTTCTTCCTTTAGTTTTCCAAATTCTGCACTTTCTACATTTTCTGGGGAAAATAATTTGAGTCTGAACTTTGCCACCACCAGAAAGGTTGGGGTTCTGTTAAGTGAGAGAATTGCACAAGTTGTCATGGGAATCATGTATGTTCTCTGAAAATAGCTGCTTCCACACGTATATTGTTCATAGATTCCTTCAATTTGGTTGCAAACAAGGCTTTGTCTTTAGAAGGTACATTTCAACTTTTGGAAGTAGCAGCATAAGCAAGATAAAGGGCATATTGTATTCACTGGGATCATCTGATGCAATTTTACTTGTGGCCCAGAATATTTTGAATAAAAGAGATGTATAGAAATGCAAATTTTGTTTTGAATTCCAACCCAGCTCCTTCAGCAAAGCTGTAATGGAGAATGTAATTGATGGTTTTTTATTTGAACTTTTGGGGTAATAGAACTTGACCAGCCTAGATCTGTTTCCATGAGAGTTTCCTTCATTTGAATATTCCCAGTCGCATGAAGAACTCGGTTTTAAGAGGGCATATACATGGAGCTTCTGCAAGGGGAGACAAATCCTCCAAGGCTATAACAACTTGTCGAAAGAAGCCAATATATAAGCCTTTCATCATGAAGCAATTCTATCTTGGCTTGTGGCAAGATAGTAAACCATCCGATAAGGTTAGGATATAGTAATTAAACAATTCTAATATGTCCAAGAGAATGGTAATGCCTGTTGATTTTTCTAGTAAAACATTATTTCTGGAAGTTGCTTTTAGATATTTCGAGTTGTGACAAGACCCATGGTTATCGAGATGAGGACATTAAGGTGTGGGAAAAAGGTCAGTGTTATGTTTACATACTGCAGGAGCCGACCATCGGTTCTTATATAGGTATATGTTCCTATAAATTTGTGCAGAAGTAGTTTAACTAGTGCCAAAACTTGGAATTTCTTGACAGAAGTGTACTTGGACTATGTTGGTATGTGTAATCTTTTTTCTGACTAGTGCAATTTCTTTTCTTGGTTTATGTAGGTACGAGTACTTGGACCGCATCATTCGAGTTCGACTTCAACTGCAACCAAAATCGATGAAGTTTGTCACGACAAAGGTTGTGGCAGATGGGCTTATATTCGGGCCTTTGGATCTATTAATTTTTTTCTCGTATATGGGGCTAGCCTCTGGAAGGAGCATAAGCCAAGTGAAGGAAGACGTGAAACGGGATTTCCTCCCGGCTCTTATCGTTGGTGGGACAGTTTGGCCTATCGTCCAAGTTGCAAACTTCCGATTCGTTCCAGTGAGATACCAACTCCTTTATGTTAATCTGTTTTGCCTGTTAGATAGCTCCTTCTTGTCTTGGATCGAGCAACAAGGGGATGCTCCTTGGAAGCAGTGGTTTACGTCGTTTCGATCCTTGGAAAATAAGAAGAGTCAGAGCTGATGACGATGATGGTGTCCCCTTTTGAGAGCCATCACACCATCCGTTTTACAGAATAAAAAGAAAGAAGAAGAAAGAGCAATATGCCTCTTGAAATCATCGAATGCTATGTAAATTCTGTATCGGCAAGACGGTATGAACCCCTGCTTCGTTCGGGCACTCGGATGGATACCCTTGATTGTTTTCATCATTTGGTTACGTGGCCAAGCTGACTGATTGTTTTTCGAATGATAATACTTTTTTTCTTTTTCCCATAGAGAGAAGGAAATTTGAAATGGTTCAGCAGTTGCAAATTCCTGTACTAGCATCTTCATACAGCTTCTATTTTTCTTGTGGCAAAGTGCAGTTGAGGATCTGTCTTCGTCTCACATCACCATTGCGAGTCTCTCGCGGCCATGGCCATTTATATATCTCAAGTCTCATGGAAGAACGTATATATATGTATATATATATATATATATATATATGTATATATATATATATATGTATATATATATATATACATATATATATGTATATATATGTATACGTGTATATATATATATACATATATATATATATATATGTATGTGTATATATATATATATATAATATATGTATATAGCTGAGAGGTAAAAAGGAACTCAAATGAAATTGGACGCGTGCAAAAGATTGCACAGAGGCTGATAAAATTCGGCAACCATATTCATGGGGTACAATCAAGTTGATGATCCTTGAAGCTAACACATATAAATAAACAGGGGAAGAACATCCCAGAAAGAACAAGAACCAATCACCATAGAATATGGCACAAATTACAAGTGATGTTGCAACGATAGGATTAAATTGGTGAGGTGACAAATTTTGAAAGAGCAACACGAACGAATTCCATCTAGCATTCGCAACCAGATGATTGCTGCTGTCTTGCACCACCCGAGACATCAATGGTATCAGGAAGATATCTTCATCATCATCAAAAAAAAGATGACAATTAGCTCCATAACCAGAGTAAAAAAAAAAACAAACCTAAGTCTCAAAATTGCGAGTTAGATAAACAAGCCATACTATTAAATCGGAACGTTAAATATACAAACAACCTGTACGACGTACAAGTTTTCTACGAAACTTGAAACAGTTCAATGTCATGGGGTTTGGATAATAAACAGATCAACATCTAACTGCAACTTTTAGGTTTGAGAGGAAAATTTGAAGGCCAGTGATGTGTACTGATGTGTGTGCAGCGTAAATGGTTATTCTACTAGGAATTCAGAGGTGTCGACAGATGATAAGAAAGCTACTCACATATCTTCCTCTGGTTCATTCTTGAGAGCATTCTGCGCAATACACTGGAAAGCAGCTTCGACGTTGAATCCTTCTTTAGCTGACGTCTCAAAGTAGGGGATGTTCCCCTTTGATGCACACCATGCCTTGGCCTTTTTCTGGGAGACCTGAAAATTCCCGAGACAGGTTAACGCACGATAAAACACACAGTACCAGATCACAGGGTGCCACATCAAGACTCAGTCCAGCCAAATATTAGCATCTACTAGTCCACCGCATTGATCTAGATATGGTTCCATGACAACCATCTATCTCTTCGACGTATTCTGTTTGTTTGGGCCCATCGCATAACTCGAGTAGAAGACAACTGAGACTATTATATCAAACATTTTGTTTCTTACATAAGAAAATAAAGGAAAAGTCATCTTACCACTCGGCTGTTGCCACCATCAATATCGATCTTGTTACCCAACACTATGAAAGGGAAGTTCTCAGGGTCAGAAGGGCTAGCCTGAAAATTCAATATTGGATGAGCATGTGCATATAAATTTTTCATGTGTTGTTTTCTAGATCAATCAAGAGAGTCAAACATCATTAACCTGAATCAGAAATTCTTCACGCCAATTATTCAAATTATCAAATGATTTCATGACATTAACATCATACACAAGGACACAACAATCAGCTCCACGATAGAAAGCCACACCAAGACTCTGGAACCTCTCCTGTCCTGCTGTGTCCCATATCTGAAAAGGAAAATATCAGAAAGTGAACCTATAGAAATTTACTTTGACGATAAACAGTAAAAGACTCGAAACGGGAGAAAAAAATCAACTTAAAAGTAGATTTATTATCAGTGTCATTGCATCGAAAAGCGAAGCTATAAAGTGAGATAGATTGGGTCAAATCCAACATGTGGAGAAGTAGGACTTTTCTCTTTGATACCTTCAATTTTTAAAGATCGGTGTCGTTGCATCTAAAGTTTACTTTATTAGATGAGACATGATCAATGGTTTTAAATTCTTACCAAAGCACAACAGGATAATTAAATAAAAAACATTGATGATGATTTCTCCGAACATTAGTTTTATTTGCAAATGTATGAGCCAACATCCCCACTCCACCCGAGCACTATGGAATGTATCATTTATCTTCATCGAAGAATCACAAAATACAACCTTGAATGAAAACAACGATTCATGTCAGACAAAGGGAGCATAGTGCCTATGGAAATCCAGCCAGAAACCAACTTGGATCCTATGACCATGAGCCACTATTGTGCTTAGGAAACAAGCAAGGAAGAGGATCAACAGAAGCAACCTGCAATGTGAACAATCTGTCATCGATCTGAACTTCTTTAGTCAAGAAATCAGCTCCGATGGTCGCCTTATACTGGTTACTGAACTTCTTGTTCACGTACCTGTTATATGAATATATATATAAATATAGCATTCAACCCCAAATCATCCACCATTGGAAGAACAAACCTTTTTATTGGAAACTAAAATCTAAAGAAGAAGAAAAAAAGGAACGCAAAAGCAAGAAGCGGTCGGAGAGTCTTACTGATTCATCAGAGATGTCTTCCCGACCCTGTCAAAGAACACAATCATGATTGAGTAACGGCTCGAGAACACAGGAAAAGGCACTTTTTTCTTCCTGAAGAACGAATAGGATGGAGATCTCACCCGCTGTCCCCGAGGATGATAACTTTGAGGAGCATTCGCCTTCGGGACGCCATGGATTCGGATCCCGCGGAGGCAAGGAGGATCGAAGCCTAGCGATCTAGGGTTTCCTTCGTCGCCACGCGATGGAGGCCCAGAAACCGTCGCCCGAATCGGGGGAGAGAAGAGAAGTCGATAACCCAATTTTAGGACCCCCCAAATCACAACTGATGACGATGACGTCGGCCTCTTCCTTCCTTGTATCATAATTATAATGAGGCGACGCATTTCCCACCCCGCCGTTCCGTACCCGCTTGCCGCTTGCGACAGTTTTTGTGGGACCCGCCGACAAGACCCCGAGCTGAGAAGCCACGATTACCCCCAGTTTAGATCGTACACACGTAGCGAGCTGACGCGGCGGAGATCTGTGTCTGTTCTTGTGGATGAGCAACGTTATGAACACTCGATAGATACTTATTTGGCGGACAGTTTGAGGGAATAATGACCGCATTAACGTAAACTTTTGTTCTGAGCATAAATTTATAGGACTAATCAGAATCAGAGCATTATCAAGTAAAACCTACTTAATTAGATGAGAAATTACTGATTCTTATGGCTACGGAAGAAATTAATGATTCGTTCATCTTCTATCATGGCAAATCCAAGCGGCCATCCTCTCTCAGATGCTTCACTCTCTCCGTCTTGTTCATGAGCATAAGCCTTGTGGTTGCTCGTCGATACTCCGATGTAAAAGGTCACAAACAAGCATGAAATGAAAGACCCGTAAAAGTAGTCCCAAAACCGTGTGTGCCTCAGCCACCTTTCTCGCTCACGTCTTTCTTCTTCCCCATCTCTATTTCCTGCGTGTGTCGACCTTCGCTGCTCGACGTCGATGGATTCTGAGCATACTCGGCGGTGGGCATGATGGATTCGCCGGTGGCGTTCTCTTCGGTCCCCATAACCATTTTCCTAAACTCTCTGATGTCTTCACTGTACTGGCCAGAATCGTAGTCGGAGCTGCCATAGGAAGTGTGGTACATGCTGTGACCTGGTCTGATGCCTTCGTTCAAATCCTCAAGGCACGTATCTCCTTCTAGAGCTCGGGCGATCTGATCGGTTGCACTCTCCGGGATTAGGAAAAGCCGCATTCTGAGTCGAGAAACAAGTGCAGATTCTGTGCAGAGAAGAGATCAAGAAACAGCACCTGGCTCATCCTTGGCCGGCGCCGTGCCGAATGGCGCACACAAGCAGCAGCACAGGAAACCATGCGGGCCATCTCACTAAGGTTATACTTCTTTCCCAACCTTGGATCGACAAGGGCGTCGTAGTTGCCATCATCTAGCGCTCGAGCAAGCAGCGGTCTCGCCTGCAGGACTGACAAGCAAATCTAAGAATTGGTTGCGGAAGGTAATTAAGCAGAGGAACATGAATGATACACCGACCCAGTCGACCAAGCTTTCATCCGTGAAAGTTTGGGATGAATCAATGGGGCGCCGCCCGGTGATTAGCTCCAGAAGCATGACACCGAATGAGAAGACATCTGATTTGTCGGTGAGTTTGCCTGAAGATGCGTATTCAGGTGCCAGATAACTGCAAGAATTTTTGAGCTTGCAGGTTAATTTGCAGCGGTAAAGATAGCAGGAGCTAATCTAGTCCAATCTTCATTCAAAAGCTTCATTCTTGCTACAGTATAGGAGCTAATCCAATCACTACATCATTTTCAATTTTGCTGAAATATCACCAAAGAAACAATTTTCGATCGTGTGCTGTTATAATCCACATTTCAACACAGGCAGGAAATAAGTGAAAGAGCAAAGACGAACACATGATCTGAAGTCCCTAATCTATAAAAGTGAGTCCGAGATTATAAAGCAAATTGAGACGAGTCAAGATGAAGCATACCCAAAGGTTCCCATGACTCGCGTCGAAATGTGGGTGTCGGTATCAGAAGCAAATTTTGCAAGCCCAAAATCTGCAACCTGCAAATCAGAAAATCAAATTTCAATGAAATTAACGCTCCGTTTTCATGGACAGACTAGTGGATGAAATAAATGTTGCTGCTTGATTGTGAAGGTTTCAGGCGAAAAAAGGGGCATTGTTTGCATGTTGAAGCATGAACATATAGCACAACCAGAGTTTTATTTATGTTTCTTGCCTTGAGGTATAACAAGACAGGAGGAGCACAATCAGAATGCCTTCAACTAAGTTGTTTGTCCACTTGAACAGAGTCATCGGCACGAAAAGAAAAAAGAGCAATATTTGAGAACTGAGACAAATGAAGAACATCAAAGCTTTCCAAAACCCAGAGTTTCGCAGATTACATTACTGCTCTCAGGAGATCAATTGCAGTAGTATGTTCCTGAGCCTAATTATTTACAGGAGATTAATTGCCTGGTGCTTAAAGCAGAATGTGAGAGGTGATTGTTTACCTTTGCCTCATATTTGTAGTCAAGAAGAATGTTGGATGCTTTAATATCGCGGTGAATAATTTTAGGGTGGCCTACGAATGTAAATAACAATAAGGAACAAAGTCAAGCAAATCAAAACCTAAAAGAGTTTAATGAGGCATGCAAAAAGAGATCAAACTCACAGTCCTCGTGAAGATATGCCAATCCCTTTGCAGATCCCAGTGCAATTCTCAATCGTATAGACCATTCCATTGTTGGCTGACCTTTCCCTAGAAAACGAAGTGCTTTTAGATGATAGAATAGAATCCAGCCGTCAATAGTAATTCAAAGGAGGAAATCTTACTATTGTTTACTACATTTTCCAGGAAGAAATCTTACAGAATTGCAGGGTCGTAATCCAAATACATTGTACAGATCAAACATCTATTAAATGTTTTACTGGGTTCATCACAATCAACAGAGAACTTAATGGATAGGACTAATAATGTTTCATGCACAAATCCGAAAAAAATGCCTGCTTATCGGCCACTGTCATCTGAATACATGTAGGAAGATCTAGAAGAACTATGTAGCTCAAGCTATGTCTAATGGCAGCAGCTGACAAAATGGTACGATGGCTTACCATGCAGATGGAACCCCAAGGTGTTGTTAGGAACAAATTCATAAACAAGAAGCCTCTTGCCTCCAGAAATGCAGTATCCAACCAATGAGACCAGATGCTTGTGATGCACACGACTAATGATCTCAACCTCTGCCTGGAATTCACGCTCACCCTGTCCGCTACCTGGTTTCAATTGTTTGATTGCGACTTCCTTGCCGTCGGCAAGCGCTCCTCTGTGAACATAGCCAAATCCACCTTGTCCGAGGAGATTAGCGTCGGAGAAATCATCTGTTGCCATAGCCAGTTCTTCATAAGTGAAGGTGCTTTTCGAGAAGCCGAGTGCAACGCCGGGGGATGGAGTCGGTGGATCCTCAGCGCCAGAATTATTGGACCCCAAACCTCCACTGCTGCTTATCATAGGTGGAGGTGGCAAATGGCTTGGTGGGCGTGGAGGACGCAAAAACAACGGCGGCGGTGGTGGTGGTGGTGGTGGTTGTGGAGGTCCCGGTGGACCTTTGACAAAATGATATGCTCGAGGTGGACCATATTGTTGCCGATGCTGGCCAAACCATTCATAGAACACTGAGAAAAGACAACAACACTATGCTAAAACCAGTGAGGAAAAATAGTAAGGGACGCAGCCATAACAATCCTCTTTAGGGTCTCAACCGGAAGTGAGGAGGATGTCATGACATCGATTCATCTTTCCAAGATTACAACTACTTGTTGGGGATTTCGTTAAATGGAATACCATTTTGTAATGCATCCAGAATTGCATATATCATATCAAGCGGAACTCACAAACATATAAACTTACACAAATGTGAATTATGGAGTATCAGAGAGATCTAATCTAAAGATTTGGGCTGTCTGAAGACTTTATCTAAAGAAAGGTTTCGTTATAGATTTTGGTCTATTTCTGGAGTAGTAGATGGAACCTTTTCGTGCCGGTGGAGGCGGCGGGAGAGATCCGTAGTAGTGAGGCGGTGGGGGCGGCGGGGGAGCTCCGTAGTAATGGGGCGGCGGCGAGCGCTTCTTTATCCAACAGCAGACGCAGATAAAGCTTAGCAGCAAGAGGATCACCAGCCCACCCACCGTGACTCCGACCACAAGTGAGGTCGAGACCGAGTTCGTCGACGATGGCGACGGAGGAAACGGGGCAGACAGAGGATCGGGTGGTAAAGGTGGACGGGGGATGGGTGGAGCTTGGCCGGAGGGCAGCGGTGGAGACGAGGAGGAAGGGGTTGGCGGGGGCTGTGACGTGTTGGCGGGGGAGGGAGTGGACTGGGCGGCGGGGGTGGCCGTGGGAGGGGAGCCGGAGGGGGTGGACATGGCCAGCAAGTATCGGTATCGTGGCCGGCTTCTTCTTCTTGTTCTTCTTGCTTTGTTCGAGGTTTAGGGGAGAGGAACCGACTGCGGAGGTGGTAATGGGAATGGGAGAGATGCTCGGTCGGCATCGCCGCGGGGGCCGCTCACACTCAGTGGGGCACTCCGGTGGCGAGGGCGGAAGGACGATGAGGATTTGATGTTACGGTCCCTTCAGGGTACAGGCTTTTCCTCGTACGTCAATCTACGGGACCCTTCTTTTCACCAATTCTGTGAACGTCAAGTTTTCAGCCCCAAGGAAAAGTTGAACTGCGGTCGTGTGCACCCTTCCGATCCTCAAAGGGAGAAGAAAGTGGAAGGCAGAGAGAATAGTGGAGTCCATGCGGTCCCGTCCACTCCTCGTGGATTGCATTCCTCCGATACTGTACATTTGTCACTGTCATCCCGTTCGACCAAGTCCGTCCTTGTACGATAGCGGAGCTCGTGAAGCAGACAGGCAAGTTGTTGCTGATCTTTCCGAGCTCGTTCTCCTTCTTTTTTTTTTTCTTTCCTCCTTCCGAGACAAGATTCCATGAACTCCTCGTTGTTTTCATATGAAGTTGCATCATTTCTCCTAGAACGAAAGATCAATAGCGTTCTGCTGCTTCTCTATATATTTCAGCTTTTCTTTCTTGGCTACACGTATTCTTTCCGCCTATCCTTCAAAATGTTGGAATTAAACTTGTTCAAAGACATAAAAAGGTTCATTGCATCAAGTGGGAGAATCATTACATCAAAAAGAAAAAATGGATTAAAAATCTATAGAAGGATAAATCAAATTGGTTATTGATTCTTGAAAAAGTTTCTTGAAAGAGAATGATTCATCTTGAATACAATTAATATAATGTATCTTTGAGAACTATATAAACCCCATATGTTGGGTCATGAGTAATATAGAGTTTCTGAAATTGTAAAAGTGTTTTTCTTGAGAGAAATATAGAAGATTGAAAGCTTGTCATACTCTTCCTCTATTTCATAACTCCATCCCCTCTTCCTATCAACATCAACATTTGGTATCAGAGCATAGGTTAAGCTATGACTTCTTCCTCAAGTGCTATCCAACTCCAGATCCCCAGATTGACAAAAGAAAATTATGACATATGGTGCATCCAAATGAAGGTTCTTCTAGGCTCCCAAGATGTATGGGAGTTTGTAGAAGATGGATTTGCTGAACCAAGTCCAGTAGAAGAAGGAGCAATGAATGCAGAAGGAAGAAAACAACTCAAAGAAAGAAGGAAGAAGGAGAAAAAGGCTTTGTTCATAATCTACCAAGGCCTTGATGATACAATGTTCGAGATCATCGCTCCAGCAAATACTTCAAAGGAGGCTTGGGAAATGCTTCAAAAAGCATTCGGTAGTGTTGATAAGGTAAAGAAACTTCGTCTACAAGTTTTACGAGCCGAGTTTGAAAAACTACAACAATGTACTTCTGAAACTATTTCTGATTACTTCTCAAAAATCATTTCTATTGTTGATCAAATGAGACGAAATGGTGAACAAGTAAATGATCAGAGAGTAATAGAAAAAATATTGAGATCTCTAGATCCGAAATTTGATTTTATTGCTGTTGCGATTGAAGAATTTAAAGATTTGGAAAAAATGTCTTTAGAAAAACTTATGGGTTCCCTTCAAGTTCATGAACAAAGGATTACAAAAAGAGGAGAAGAGAAAACTATGGAGCAAGCACTACAAGCTAAGTTTGCTCTTGAAAATAAAAGAGAATCAAATTCTCAAAGAGGAAGAGGACGAGGACAAAGAGGAAGAGGAGGCAGAAATCAGACCAATCAAGAATCTCCAAACAGTGAAGATGTTGGAGAAAATTATAGCCAAAGAGGCCGAGGTTATGGTCGAGGACGTGGACGTGGCAGAAACTCTAAAAGGTCTGAAATACAATGCTATGTTTGTAAAAGGTATGGACATTACTCTTATGAATGTTATTATAATCCTAACAATCAAGGTGATAAGGCAAATTTTGTTGAGGAAGAAAAGAAGGAAAATCAAGTTTTGCTAATGAGTTATGAAAATTTGAAAAAAGATCGGTCTATGACATGGTATATAGATACAAGAGCCTCAAATCACATGTGTGGCATCAAAGAGCTATTTTCAGAAATAGATACAAGTTATTCCGGGAATATTACATTTGGTGATTTGTCTCAAAGACCAGTAAGAGGCAAAGGTAAAATTCTCCTTGAACTTAATAATGGCAAGGAATTATGCATTTCAGATGTTTATTATGTTCCTGATATGAAAAATAATATTCTAAGCTTGGGACAATTACTTGAAAAAGGTTATGATATTGAGATGAAAGATATGGCTCTCTCAATTCGTGACAAGAATAAAACATTGATATCACATGTGAAAATGGCAAGGAATAGAATGTTTCCTCTACATTTGAGTATTTTTTATCAATCAAATTGTTTTAAAGCTTATATTGAGGATATTTCTACACTTTGGCATTTTAGATATGCTCATTTAAATTTTGATGCTTTGAAACTTCTAGAAAAGTATAATATGGTGACATGAATGCCAAAAATTGATCGCCCAGCAAAACTATGTGAAGTATATGTCATGGGTAAACAAGAAAGAAAGCCTTTCAAAGTGAGAAGAACAAAAAGAGCATGGCATCGACTCGATCTGGTGCACTCGGATGTTTGTGGCGCTATCAATCCAGTAACACTTGGAGGAAGCAGGTATTTTCTTACATTTACTGATGATCATAGTGGCAAAACTTGGGTTTACATGTTAAAAGAAAAGAAAGAAGTTTTAAGCAAATTTAAAGAATTTAAGGATTTGGTTGAAAGATAAAGTTATTGTAAGATTAAATGTTTAAGAACAGATAGAGGTGGTGAATATATATCAAATGAATTTGAAAGTTTTTGTAGAAATAATGGAATTCTACATCAATTCACCATGCCATACACACCTCAACAAAATAGTGTCTCGGAAAGAAAAAATAGGACTATCCTTAATATGGTCCGATGCATGTTAAAGGAAAGAAAAATTCCGAAAGAATTTTGGGGTGATGTTGTTGCTTGTGCAGTTTATTTGCTTAACAGGTTTCCGACAAAGCGAATTGGTAATGTTACACCAGAAGAAGCATGGAGCTTACAAAAACCAAGAGTTGATCATTTGAGGATTTTTGGAAGTGTTGCATTTGCTAAGATACCAGAAGAGAAGAGAACAAAATTAGAGGATAAAAGTCAAAAATGCATTTTGCTAGGTTATCTGGAGAATTCCAGTGGTTACAAACTGTTGGGAAATCATGGGGGCGACATCACATGCGCAGCGGAAGAACAAGAAAACAAAATCTCCGATTCCCAAAAAGATGTTCGTCGTCGTGCGAAGATTGGTGCGCAAAAATCTGCGAAACATGAAACTGCGTATAGAGTAGATTGTGTTACCTAGGGAGATCGTATATCCCTGTTTCCTTGCAGATCCTTAGGAGAGGGTAAAGGAGGTCAAGCGTCCTCCTCTCTAGCGGTGATCCACACAGCAGGGTTACGAAGACGCTCCTCAAGACTCCAGGCCTGCTCTGAGGTGGAGAGGAAGAGGAGAATATGAAAGGCAAGCAAAGGCTCTAGCCTATGAGGCTCTGAATCCCTCCTATTTATAGAGGTCTCATGTCAAACCCTAATTGGTCCTCCCCTAGTGGGTATTGGATCTGCATCCAATAAGACAAGGGCTCCGTCGGATATCTCATATCCGAACCTCTACTCATCGCAATGCCTACCATATATGTGTGACCCTCTAGGCACAATATCGAGCTGGCCGTGAGTCATACCTGTCAGAACTCCTTCTAACTCAGTGAATTATTGTCTATGTAATAATTCACTTGACTCATCGACTACGGAAGTACTAGGCCACTACGCCGTAGTCCCCAGACGATACAGGGGAATCCAATCCATTGGACCTGTCTGTCCTCAGTTACCGTGTACCTATAATCCCTCATCCATCTAATATCCCAGAGACCGTATATCGAGCATGGTGTTGTCAGACCCATACGATTTCTACTCGAGTCTCGCTCTAATCGGATTCTCCTGGAGAACTCTTTCTCTCTCAACCCGAATGACCCTGGCTAGGGATTTGTCTGAGCAAGAACACATGAGATATTCCTCTCATGACGCCGAGAGTAGATGATCCTCTATCGACACTCAATAGCCCTCGTAAGGTTGACTACCACTCCCAATGACCAGCTGTACTAGATCTGGGACAGCCAAACCTATAAATTTGGTATCAAAGAGTGGAGCACTCATACAGGACATCCTTGGTGTCTCAAGTCTAAGGACCAGATACACCACTAGGACTACAGAATCGCTGTCTGACAATAAGGCATCATCAACCATCCAGCATTTCGTAAGCGGATCAATCAGTGAACTCATTCTCCAATGAGCACCTGTACTGTATCCCTAGTGTCCCTACACGAGCAGCTATGAGACCAGCTACATCCATCATATGGACGGGTATACAGCACACCAGTCTATCCGGTTATCACGATGTCCCTCTCGAGTAACCTATGACCGGGATCATTTAGGATATGTGTTTAAAGGTGAATCGATCTCATTATCGTGATCTCATCACGATCTGATTCCCATTGCACAAATCCAAGGACATCACAATATATGTATGCATTTATGCAATAGTTATAAAGTGATATACGCCAAAATATAATAAGCAAAAAGATTCTGTATCAAGTCACACATGTCATCACTCACGTGATTGGCTTGCTGGACACCTATGACTAGCACAAACTCTACAATCCTATCACAAATAAAGTTGTGATGTCAAGAGATGTTGAGTTTGATGAACAACAGATTTGAAACTGGAAAAGTAATGAGCAGCATAAGAAAGCTGTAGCTTCAGAAGAAGATGATATAATACAAGCAAGCACCGAAGTGGCTGTGCCGGAATCATCACTTAGATCAGCTAGGTTACATGATTCAAGAAGTCCAATTATAAGAAGGACAATACCTATTCAGGACCTATATGATGTGACTCGAAGGATTGATACTAACAATGATGAACTTTCTTTATTTTGTCTTTTTGCAGGATATGATCCATTAACCTTCGAAGAAGCTTATA